GTCTAATCGAGAGCTCATATGAAAATCTTCCAAGACTTAATGCTGGAGGCATTTTTACCTGCCTATATATAGATTTCAAAAGCTAACCTTGTCATACACATACTATAATATTGAAAACTAAACACTATTTATTCGATTTGAAGGTGATTCCAGCTAAACGATTGGAATACGGAAACTCATCATCAACAATCATCAACCATAATATCATCATCAACAACAACTTCCATTTATATTAGCATCCTTCCAGCAGGGTAGCATCTCGGAGCGATTAACAGAATGTTCATTAAAACTTGTCTATTGAAATCCCTAAGCTATATTTATTGCTACTTTTATGCTGATATTCATTGTCACATACATCTACACAGGTGAAGTGGATGTTACTGTGACACGAAACAGTATCTTGAGCAGTCATTGACATTTCCTCGAAGGTGCAAGCTCAGAGCTAAGAGATAACCAGTGTATCTTACTCCTCCTGACAAATAAGCTGCAGCAATTAAGCAAGCTAGGACTCTTCAGTCTTGAAAGGGGACATCTTAGAGGGCACCTTTTAGAAGTATATAAGAAATTAAATAAGATCAAGTGAACCCAGAGCAATATTTTTGGATGCTCTGCGACAGGAAGCGAGATGTCACAGGTTTAGAGTTGCAAATGGCAATTTCAGAACAGAAGGAAAGAAATATTTAATTACCCAGTGGGTAATTAACAACGGAACAGGTATCCAGGAAGGGTGGTGGAGGCCAGGACACGAGACTTGTTTAAGAAAAAGCTTAATTCTGTGTTGAGAGGATGGGAGGAAGGGTATTCTGAAAGTTACTAATTGTCCAGTCTACCGAACTAGATGATGATAATACTACAACAATAAAATTACATTTGTAAAGCGCCTTTCACGTCGGGGATCAGGACCCGAGCGTGGGGGGACAGGGTTGAGATGAGGGAGGACAGAGAGGTAGGAGGGTGGCTGAAGGCACTGTCGAAAAGGAGGGTCTTGAGTCCTGAAGGTGGGGCCCAGATCTGAACCCAGTCGCTAGTCTCAAGCTGAGATCTAACCAGTGTTTTATAAAAGTTCATCGCAACTTCCTGATTTTTGTATTCTGTGCCCCTATTTATAAAGCCTATTAAACCGTATGCTTTTTTAACAGCTTTATCTTCCTGTCCGGCCACCTTCAAAGATTTACTTATATGAACCCTCAGGTCTCTCTGTTCCTTCACCCCCTTTAAGATTGTACCATCAGCTTATATCGCCTCTCCTCATTCTTCCTCCCAAAATGCAGCACTTCGCATTTCTCCACATTAAACTTCATTTGCCACATGTCTGCCCATGTTACCAATCTGGTTATGTCCATTTGCAGTCTGCTACTGTCCTCCTCACTGTTTACTACTTTTCCGAGCTTGGTATCATCTGCAAACTTGGAAATTGTACTCCCTAAACCCAAGTCCAGGTCATTTATATAGATATTCGTAATCTGTCTCCCAGCCAGTTCTATATCCGCTGCCACTGTCCCTTTAATACCGGGGGCTTCTATTTTGCTTACGAGTCTCTTATGTGGTACTTTATCAAATGCCTTTTGAAAATCCATATAAACTACATCAACTGCACTACCTTCATCCACCCTTCTCCGTTATTTCATCAAAAAAACTCTATCAGGTTTGTTAGGCATGATTTGCCTTTTAACAAACCCGGGTTGGCTGTCCTTTATTAACCCATCTAAGTGAAAATTTATTTTGTCCTGGATTATTGTCTCTAGAAGTTTTCCCACTTCTGATGTTAGGCTGACTGGCTGTCGTTCCCGGGTTTTAATGCCTCCTCTCGGGTTATTCTTATCCTATTCAATTTCTCTACCCTAGTCGAGCCTTGAGGTGATGAACACGAATATGAATATGATGAATATGAGGGTTTTGGCGGAAACTAATATTGATAATACACATAATAATAATCCTTGCACTTGATATGGCACTTCCACATTCAGAGGATGTCAAAGCATTTCACAAGATTTAGTGTAAACTGGAGTGACTTGGGGTTTTGACACTTTGTTCCTCAATTTACTATTTATACATAAATGAATTAATTTCCTTAACAAGATTATTTTCTGGCTAGTGAGCTGCTAAATTCATCGACTGCCTTAGTGAACTGAAAATGTTAATTCTGCAGTATGCATGGTTTGCCTCCTATAAAAACAGCTCCCTCTGTCCCTTACACAAGGTAAATCCACCATGTTATTCCCAAAATAATTAAACTCTATGACAAAGTAAGATCACTGACCTTTGGAATAAAATCTACAAACAATGTATCACATAATTTTAAAACCTATTTCGTGTGATTATCAGTTGAGTCCAGTAATGCCTAGCACTCATCCTCTTCACACCCTTGAATAATTTCATTCCATCGGGCACTCCATGTATCAATTCCAAATTCAAACAGCAACAAGGATCACCATTATTTCAAAGGTACATTACGTGACCCATTTTCTATAATCTATGTCCGCAGTTCAAAAGACAAGGAAAGTCCATTAGAAGGAATTGTGCTAATCCTTGTATTTGAAAGTTAAGAATTCCCGTGGAGCCGTACTAATCTTGTTTTTAAATTCACATAAACAGTGCCCCCGAGATGTCCAACTATGAGAACTGAACAAACGTTCTGTTAAATATTTGCTATCGCTGAATCACACGTACAGTATGCTCAAGCATCGCCATCGTGTGGCACACTCGTGCATCGGTTTCATGACGTCCACTCAAATCAGAATCATTGTTTCACGATAGTAAAGCCAGAGGACGCGGCCAGCGATTAAAAACGGGTACATTCAGAACGAATCCATCCAAACACTATTTCAGTGAGCGAATAGTGAACCTGTGGAACAGGCTCCCTCGGGAGACGGTTGAAGCAGGAAGTGTTGATTCTTTCAAACACAGATTCGATTGTTTTTTTTTAAAAAAATAACATTATTGGATGTAGTACATAGGGAGTTCGGGATATTGTGCATGTGACCACCAGGAAGGTTGAGGGCGAACTAGATGGACCCTGGTCTTTTTTCATCTTGCAGTTCTTATGTTCTATCTTTTTGATGTTAGGGACCAGTTTAGCTCTTAAAATATGGTACCGTTGGCAAATGAGTCTCTAATCATAACCCATTTTCAGTGAGCTATACGTTTGACTAATTACCTTACAATATAATGATAATAAAATAATCCTTGCATTTGATATAACACTTTTCACATCTTCTAGACGTCTCAAAGCGCTTCAAAGATTATGCTGTAAAGTGAATTGACCGTATATTTGTGGGCGAAACGAGACAGCCAATTGCACACAGCAGTGTCCCACAAACAGTCGTGGATCGAAAATGAACAATTTATTATTTTTTTATTTTGGAAGGATTATTATCAGGAAACTTGCCCAAGGTTTCGCCCTGCCTGGAATTGAACCCAGGTGTCTCGGTTGCAAGGCGAGTGCTCTAACCACTGAGCTTCAGGACTCCTGCATATTTGGAATATGCATTTATATATAGCGCCTTTCACGTCAGGAAGATATCTCAAAGTGCTTAAACTGCTGGATTAGCAGATTGGCATCTGAGCATCTGAATTTGTTTTCAATAGTCACTTAATGCCTCCTCCAGGATCTTGTTTTCTTGCCTTTCTACCTCCAAACACTCCCAACCAAAAAGACAATCCAGACTATGCTAACCCACAAGATAGGGTGAGCCTGTTTTGAAAACCAAAGCCAGGAACACATATATTTAAAATAAATTTAACTCACCACTATTCCTGATGCTGGCAGTATTGGAGAAGCTGGATTACTGACTGTATTACTGATGAGTGTGTCTGTTTTAGAATGTTATTTTTCTTGCTGAACTTAAGACAGGGCAAATTTGGCCAAAGGCACAATGTCTCACTGTCCCTGGTTGTGTTGTCACTCTACTATGTCTGTGTAAGACCTGTTATTTGAATCAGCTGTTCACAATAAGCTATTCTCTTTTCAGTACTTGTGATTGATTAATTGCCTCATGGCTTGTTAAACCTAATAAATAACTGCCTCACACACACTCAAACCTGCAACATCACCACAATCTGGATTTACGGAAATAGAAACTGATATTGTCGCTAGGTATTGCAAACCAAAAATAAATTCTTCTTGCACTGGGATCCTAACCAGGTAGATTGAAAACCTATTTGGAATTTTATTGTTTGGCATACAGAATTTATACCAGGTGTTACTTAAGTGTCTAGATGTTTATATGTCAGGTGTCAGCCTGGCTCAGTAGTAACAATCTCGCCTCGGATTCAGAAGGTAGTGGGGTCAAGTTCCATGTTGGGACTTTCAGCACCTTAAGACGTCCTCCTGACGTGAAGGCCGCTTTACAAATGTAATTTTGTTATTATTGTTGTTTAAGCAATGGTTTTATTCATTTTTGAAAAAACTTAATCCTTACATTTGAGGTGGTGCCTTATTGTACATGGAATCCTGTGGCTCAGTGGTTAGAGCACTCACCTCGCAAGCGAGAGACCTGGGTTTGATTCCCGGCAGGGAGAAACCTTGGGCAAGTTTCCTTACTCCACACACCTGATAATAATCCCTCAAGAAAAAGAAACAATAATTGGTCATTTCAATCCACGGCTGTTTGTGAGACACTGCTGTGTACAATTGGCTGCCGCGTTTCACCCACAAATATACAGCCAATTCACTTTACAGTATATTCTGTGAAGCACTTTGAGTCGTCTGGAAGATGTGAAAAGCGCTACATCAAATGCAAGGAATATTATTATTATTATACCATCAAAATGTCTCAAAGTGCTTCACAGGAATTAGTGGAGTGCAGTAACTATGTATTTTGTAAGAAAATTCCCAAATTCCAACATGGAGTTTGTACTGACATTCCTGGCTAAGATACAAGAAGATAAAAGGTTCATACAGAATTTTTTAATTCCTCCAAAGCATTTGTAACCTTATTGTGGTTAACTAGTTGGAATAAGTAATATTTTTTTTAAAAAGGGAGAACAGAAGGAAATGACACATGTGTGAAATTGTTTTAATAGTATTCAGTAGCTTAGATTTAACAACCATATTAAAGCTAACCTGTTTGAATAGTTTTACAACTATTTTACTTAAGTGACATTGAAACTCTAAGCTTAAGGTTTTGCACTGAGCAACTTATCAACGTTATGTCATCACTTCATATAAAACAGCACTTGGACGGAATATTTACCAACGTGAAAGGCATTATACAACTGTTATTATGTTGCTGTTATTTCCATAATCCCATATTAAACATACTATTCCAGACTTCTCACACTCATTTTAAAATGTACTGAAACACAAGTAACACAAGTTAAATACTTAATATTTTATTTCTTTAAGGTAGAAGCATTTCATCTTTTTATTTACACTACAAATGGGTGATGGTCTCTCTTCAGGAACAGACTGTATTAATTCTGCGTATGTTAGTAATTCACAGGCGTGGCTTGTTTAGTTTCCTCCAACTCTGCTTCCAACCAGCGGAAACTACGGTGGCGTCTCAGAACCTCGAGCACGTTCTGCTCAAGAGGGGTTGGGGTGATTCCCAAATCTTCTAGACCAGGAAGGTCAGGATATTTCATATCCGTGATGTGGAACTGAAATGATTCACACAAAAACATTATTGCAACAGTCATTTCAGAGTATTTGCAAGTCTTTTGGCAGGAAAACTTTCTTCTTTTCAAACAAAAAGCCATTAGCTGATTAAGTAACAACTCATTTTCATCTAAAAGTTTCAAACTGGTTGCCACCAAATAACAAACACTGACATAATTGAACCATAATTCACAGTATAATATCACATACCCTGTCCAACTTGTCACGAGAGGTCCATGGTTCAAATGGATTCAATTCGAAAAACCTTGCTATCAAGCTGGAAGATAAATGAGAGCCATTGTTCAGTCTTAAAACAATTTCTTTAGAAGAAACACATTTAACTTGCCTTTCCGTGACTCATGAACTCATCTTCTGTTAAGACTTGCACATCATGTAGCAAAGAAATTAGTAGTACAGAAGACAAACAAGGATTTAGTTTTAAAATGTTTACCATGATGCATAATATTGATATAGATTTCCCTGGAGGACAGAGGTTCTCAAACAAATTTGTTGGTGGCCTCAGTACGTGTGAAACCACTGCTAAAGGCAATATTTCAGATGATTTTATACAGTAGTGCAACTCAGCATCAATTTAAAGGCGAACTTACATTTGTCTTAGTGAAAGACACAAATTACCAGAATGAACATAGATCACAGTGTGCTAAGAGTTATTTTTGAAATAACAGTTTTATCAACACAATACTTGTCAAATTTGTAAAGTTTATATAAATTTGATTTCACTGTAGGTACTTACTGATAGAAAGGTCTGGGCAACGGATATGAAATAAATGATCTGTGTGCAACAGCAAACACGTATTCCACAAGGTCATGAAGGAGGTATCGATTGGGTCTATTAAAATAAATCAGAATAACATGAACATAATATGAATGTAAAGAACCAAAAACCTCATCATGCTAAGAAATTACAGTAATAATATGATAATCCTGGCATTTGATATCACATCTTTGAGACATCTCGAAGTGCTTCACAAAATATAGTGTAAAGTTGATTGACTGTATAATTTGTGGTGAAACGTGGCAGCCAACTGCGCACGGCAGTGTCCCGCAAGCAGTTGTGGATTGAGTGACCACACTTTTATGGAAGAGAACAGTTCAAACAGGATCTTGCAGTGAATTAAGATATTGGAATTTTATTTCTAGGCCTTGGTTGAAATCCAGTCCAAGTACATGAGGTTAACATGGAAATTGGAAGCCGTTCTCACATTGAGCACCCAGTTTCAATATAATGCACTCCTAGTGGGTCAGTTATAGTATTACTAGCTCTTTCTGCTCAGCCTTAAGCTGACGTTCAGGTCCAGCTCCCGGCCTCTGTAACAGTTTTAGTAGTGAGGCCGATTGGAGAAATACAATGTGAAACTTTCTTCATGCATATAGACCAGCTACATTATGCTCTTTTGATCAAAACTGAATTGGTTAGGCTATTTGGTAAACTCCAAATGGTCCCTCGAGCACTGCAAATTCCTATTCAAAATAAGACAACTAAATGATTCTACAAAACACACACATGCTGTTCAAAAATCAGCTTGACCTCGCAAATACAAATAAGATGGTATTACATCCTGGGGTTCCAAAAGCCAGTTTAAATTGATTGTTTTCATCTACAAGATCACATCAAGGCCATACCCTGTCAGCAAAGCCATTTTGCTCACTTGTAACAAATCTTACCAAGATATTGGGGAGGATACAGCAGCTATAAGCAGTCACAAATAGCAACTTTAAAATCATGATGAACAGCTTTTACGATTTAGTCTCCTGCAGCTCAGATTTAACACTTACCCAACTATAGCATAAGATTTTCCATTGGCGTCAGCTTCTTTTATTGCACTTACAATCGCCTTGGCTACATCCACAACCTGTAAATAAAAAATAGATATATTTATATAATTTGTTAATGAAACTGAAATTTTGCAGGATTATAATTATCTCTTGGCTGATTATTTAAAATTTCTGCAGTAAGTTTGTTTTGACCCTCAACTATCCTTTCTACCTCATATCCGTGCCATGTCCCGCTCTGCCTTCCCCCACCTCATACAGGCATTCATAACATCCCGGTTCAACTACGCAAACTCCCTCCTTGTCGGCCTCCCCCAACTCCTCCCTCCGTAGGTCACAGATCATCCAGAACTCTGCAGCCCATGTCCTCTCCCGCACCAGATTCCGTGATCCTATCACCCCCATCCTCGCTCGACTTCACTGGCTTCCCATCACACAGAGGATACAGTTCAAGATCTTGGTCCTCACCTTCAAAGCCCTCCACGGCCTTGCTCCCCACTACCTCTGCAACCTCCTAACCCCCTATCATCTTGCTCACTTTCTCCGCTCAGAGATCTTGTGCCTGCTTCACATCCCCCACCTTGCCCGCCCCATCATTGGCAGGCAATTCTGACACCATCCTCTGGAACTCCAACCTGCAATCCCTCTGCCTTGCCCCCTCCCTTGCCTCCTTCAAGACACATCTCAAGATCGTGCCTTCCTTCCCTCCTGCTCTTCACCCTTCCTGATCCCGACACCCAGCTCGGATTGTCCCGCGCTTTGGGACGTCCTCCCGATGTGAAAGACGCTATACAAGTGTAATTTTGTTGTTGCAGTACTCACATAAACAGGCTGTTTCACCGTCTTCTTGCCCATGCCAATCAGTGGTACAGCTGCTCCAAACCAGCGCATATCTGGGAAAGAAAACAAATTCTAGAACTGAAAATGAGAACAATTATACATGCACAAATTCCCTGCTCAATTTCAAAAACATTTTAAGTTTCTTTCAAATTAGCTCGCTGTCTTAGAAATAGTTTAATAATCCATCAATCCCATCTGTCAAGATCAATGGTTCACATAAAGAAGACTAACAACTCAATACTACACCAGGTGCCTTCAGCCACTACACTACGCCCTGAAACTCCGGAACTCTCTCCCTCAATCCCTCCACCTTGCCCCCTCCTTCCCTTCCCACCTTCAAATCCCGCCCAAAGAACTTCCTTTTTGACCGTGCTTACGGTCACCTCCACACTCCCTCTGGCTCGGGATCAGTCTCTGCCACTGTCAAGTGATCCGTGGCGTGAAGGCCGCTATATGAATGCAAGTTGTTGTGGTAAAAAGCCTCTTTCTAAATCTTAATTTTTTTTACTGCAAAACCATCGTTGAAGCTGTCCAGGTTCCGGAGATAATCCTATAATAATAATAATACTTGCAATTGATATAGCGCTTTTCACGTCGGGAGGACATCCCAAAGCGCTTCACAGAACACACTGTAAAGTGAAGTGACTGTATATTTGTGGGCGAACGCGGCAGCCAATCGCGCACAGCGATGTCCCACAAACAGTCGTGGATTGAAAATGACCAATTTATTATTGTTTTTGGTTTTGGAGGGATTATTATTAGGCTCTGTGTGGAGTAAGGAAACTTGCCCAAGGTTTCGCCCTCTGCCTGGAATTGAACTCAGGTCTCTCATTTGCAAAGCGAGTGCTCTAACCACTGAGCTACAGGACATATGATTAAAAACAAAATACACAATAGTAGAATATGAATCCGAAAGAAATTCATTACAGGAAACATGGACTGAATTAAGTAACACCTGTCTGCAATGGTCATGCAACTCCAATACAATCATTCAAAATCGGTATTCAAAGTCGCTTTCTTATTTATTATTCATTATAGAGGTCCTTACTTGCAAAATAGTTTAAAAATCGATCTTCTCTTCCAAACAATTCAGATGGTTTCAGTATGACAGCATCAGGGAATTCTTCTCTTACAACTTGCTCGCCCACAGCCTGACAAGAAAGATATGAAATAAATTATTGCACATTTCTCGAACATATAATCGCTTAATACTAAAAGTGTGGTGTTCAGTGTGATTTTGCAATTGAGGTGGGCAAGCCAGACAATTTGAAACTCATTTAGTCAAATGCAACCTTGCTGAGCTCATGCATTGAGGTCACCTGAATGAGATACTGCAGAAGAAAACAATTACAACATGTTGGATTGACATTTATGTATTGGTGAATATCTGCCCCCTTTAGAGGGTGACAGCACTGAGAAACCGTTTTGTGTCACAATCGAGCATTTCCGTATAAGAAGAGGCATGTTGAACAGCAAATCTCCCCTCACTGTGCTTCATCCTCATCTATTGCAAAGCCATATTGTACCAGTGTGAGTTTTTTCCTACTTTCCACGCAAGCTGTCCCGATAGCTTCAGAAAAACTGTCAGATTTGTAATGTGCAGCCAGGGATGTAAAGGGGTTCACATTGCAACTTCATTATGCCATTATCAAATGCAAGGATTATTATTATTATAACCAAAATTCACATTATAAAAAGCATGTTATTGAATGGGCTGCACTACAGCGGTCTCAATTGAGCAGTGTTACACAACATTATTTGGTTTATTGCCCCATTGGTCTTATCATTCTTCCTACCTTTGTTCTTAGAAGCTTGGAAATGCTCTTGATATTAGCATTCAGATGGGAAATGTGGATAAATTTTTCAACTCCAGCCTCCCTGGCTGCAAGAGCAATCTGTCTTGGGATATTGATATTGACATCCTCAAACTTGTAGTTCCTAAAATAAAGAATATGTTTCTAATGGCTGATATATGCAAAGAAGTCACCACAAAGGAATACACCTTCCCTTTATAGGATTAAGCTGTTTATTAAAGATTAGAGTAATTTTATTTATTACATAAAACAAAGATAAAATAATTAATATAATAAAATTAAATTCTGATTTATTAAATGATTATTATTCCATTAAAATGAAATCAACTATGTGCCTGTAAAAAATAAATCCTGATCCTTGCCCTTTTGCCTTTCAAAACCCTGAACCTGCGTCTCTTGATTTCGAGCATTGGCAAGTACAGTAGTGGCTAGATAAAGCTCTCCAAAAATATTTGTAAATACCAACCTCAGAACTAACCAGCTGGCCAAAATATTACCAGTATTTATTGAACCATACCCTAGTTTGTGTCACCACTTGGTGACAGGAGAGGAGAAAATTGAAGAAGAAAATATGGTCAAAATCTCGTTATTTTCAATCTGCGGACCACTTACCATGTTTCCCATTCCCTTCCAACAAGGTTAATAACAACATTGGAATTCTCCACAGCTCGTCTTATAGAATCTTTGTCTCTGGCATCCCAGTGCTGGTAGAACATAAAAATATACTGATTATTTTGGAATGAAGGGACAGTTTAACTGTAACATGCATGACAACCTCACCATTACATGGCTTTCATTGCATATACAGTTTCTGTGAGCCTTACCAGCAAAGTAATTTGCCCAAGATCACCCATTGGCTTGAGATGCATAGTATCATAAGGATCACAGCGATAGGGGATCACGATCTGAGAACCAATGCGCCCTAAAAGTAAAGATAGTGCTTGGGTGAAAAATGTCAGCGTTGCACAAATTGAAATACTTAAGCAGATTATCTTTATAACAATATTGAACATAATGGATACAGAGCACAACATATTCAAAAAGGCATATGAATACTAGTGCCAAACAGAATTTTCAACATCCCCCAAAACATTTTTTTATTTCTTCCTTTGCTGAAAACTGACTTTTGATTTAGGAGTTATCCAGGGCCTCGCCATAGTCCTCAATATTTGTGTGAGTGTACCTCTCCCAGACCACGATCCATGAGCCTATCACTCATATCCTCGCTTGGCTCCACTGGCTCTCCACCCCTCAGCGAATGAAAATCTAAATCCTCACCTTTAAATCATGCAACCGCTTCACCCTATCCCACCTTTGTGATTGGGTAGGGTGACCCTTCCGACAAAGCTATTGCCTTCACTCAACGAACACCGGCCTAATCCATATCCTCTTAGTCTGCACTTTCGGTCATCTCTTACCTCCCCACCCTCTTTGGCTCCCACCACAATCTCGGGTACCCAGCCAGCAAAGTGTCAGGGTGGTGTGAGACATCCTCGCAACACGAAAGGAGCTACATAAATGTAAATGGTATTCCATATCAACATTGAGACACATATTGTAACTCACCAAGTCTGTTAACCACATAGCGACCAAGAAACCCAGTTGCTCCAAAAACTGTAGCCACAATCCCACTGAAAGAAGAACGTCCACCTTTTCCACGAGGAATAATAGCTTGATGAAGCTTCCTCTTTTGAATACGAATGGACTCTACTGTAACAACGCTTGGTGATATAGTACCTGATAATTAAATCAAGTATTTGAATATTATAAAATACAAAATTCAGCAGTTTATAGAGGTCCATTAACATAAATCTTTAAGAATCACAAATCTAATGTAATTCTAAGCAAATATGGTAACACATTGGCTTTGTTATCTGCTCCAAGACTGAAAAGACAACTCAAATTTATAAAACAACCCTCATATAGCGTGCTTCACAAATGTTAGGATTGGACAACAATCAAAGGAAGGGGACTATACAGAGGTGTACCGGTAGGTTTTAAGGCAGAAGTAAAAACAAGATAGCAAGTGAGGGAGTTCCAGAGATTAGGGATAATAATAATAATCCTTGCATTTGATATAGTGCTTTTTACGTCTTCTCGACATCTCAAAGCACTTCACAGAATAGACTGTAAAGTGAATTGACCGTATATTTGTGAGCAGATGTAATGATATTAAATAATCCTTGGATTTGATACATCTGATCACTTCAACGAGACATCTCAAAGCACCTTACAGAATATACAAGCAGAGAGTGGCATAAGGGATCAGAGAGAGGGAGGTGTTCGGGGTTCAAATTCTTAGGCAGATGACTTTGTCGCTGCCTCGACCCTCAGGCCACTGAGACCCTTAAGGCCACTGAGACCCTCATCCGTGCATTCATCACGTCCAGGCGAGACCAGACACCAACTTCCTGCAGGTCAGGCAGCCTCTGTGGAGAAAGGAAAGCGAGTCAGCGTTTCGGGTCCACAATCCCTTCGTCAGAAAGGAAGGGTCGTGGACCCGCAACGTTGACTCAACTTTCCTCTCTCCACAGCTGCTGCCTGACCTGCCGAGTGCGTCCAGGTGCCGCTTCTGGTTTTGTTGTAGAGACGCACGTTGCCGGCGGTGAAGCGGTGGATAAGACGAGGGCCGGGATTCCGAAGTCCAGCCGCCGAGGGAAGACAAGAATGGAGCCGGTGGGGGGGACTGGGAGTCATTTGGCAGCCTTCGGGGGTGCGAGTCAGGAATGCCGGTGGGGTGGGGGGTGGGTGTTGGGAGTTCGGGACGAGCTGGAGCTTTGGGGGGAATGCTGCGAGTGAGGAGACCCGAGAGGGAGCGGGTCAGTGAACAAGAGAAACAATCCTATACACACATACATGTAGAATAACATGGTACATATTCCATATGACAAGGACACCGGGAGGGGGGGGGGGGGGGGCGGCTCCGGGAGGGGATTCCCAGCGTCACACAGCGCAGAGTACGTAACGTTCGGGTTTAAAAAGGAAAGATAAAAGCAGCAGCGCGAGAGGGCCGACTCCGTGCGCACAGGAAAGCGCCCCCGTCACACAATAACCTTTCAAAGCGACGCGAAGGGCAAAGGCCCGAAGCGGCCCCGGGGGGCCTCCGCCCCGCGAAACCCCCCCACCACCACAGCGCCTCCTCCCCGGGTGCCGCTGTAGGGAAGGTGAGGACCCGGTCCGACCCCCCCCCACCCCCCCCAGAGCAGAGCTGACCTGACAGTCGCAGAGCACCGGCTCCTCGGGGGCGCAGCGCAGCCACGGCCGCCATCTTGTCCGCTTCCCAGCAGCCACCGCGCCCGGGGGGGAGGAGCCAGCGCCGAGCATGCGCACACCGCACACACAGCACAGGGGTCACACAGAGGTCACAGAGACCCATCTCTGGTGATGGTGTCTTTCACTCTCTGAGCAGTTGGGAGGGGTTCACCTGTGGATGAGTTGTTAGACTGAGGTCCTGTCTGTCTCTGCTGCTGCTCCTCCCAGGGTTCTGGGCTAATTATTTCCTGACTAACCCCCCCCCACCCCCTCTCTCTCTCTCGCCCCCCCACCCCCTCCCCCAGTCCCCTGATGTTCCGACGGTCAAGACCTCAGGGGTTGGGTGAGCGCAAACTTCCTTCCTTCGCGGCTGAACGCGGACCCCGACGGAAGCCGCCGCCCCTCGGCTTGAAACGCCGACGTCTTCGAATCTCACGGCTCACACCCGCCCGTCCACCCGCCCGGCGCCCAAACCTGTCCGGGCTCGGGAAGCAGCCTTAGGGCGTCGGGTCCGACCCCCGATTCTCCTTCCTCCCTCACATCCGGTCCCTCGCCAGCATCGCACTTCTTCCACCTCCGACGCATCGCCCGTCTCCGCCAATACCTCTCCCCGAAAGCCGCTGAAACCCTGGTCCATGCCTTTGTCACCTCTCAGCTGGACTATTCTAACGCCCTCCACTGCCATCCACAAAATCCAGATTATTCAAAACTCTGCCGCCCGCATTCTCACCCGCACCAAACTCCTCTCCCCGATTACCCCAGTCCTTGCCAGACGGCACTGGCTGCCTGTCCCAGAGAGGATCGACTTCAAGATCCTCACCCTTGTCTTCAAATCCCTCCACTCCTCTGCAACCCCCTACTTCTCTGACCTCCTCTCTCCTCACAACAGTTGCCTTCGATCCTCCGGGTCTGGCCTCCTCCTCGTCCCCCGAGTCCTCCGCTCCACTTTCGACGGCCGTGCCTTCAGCCACTACGCCCCGAGGCTCTGGAACTCCCTTCCTCACACCCTTCGCCTCACACCCTCTTTCTATTTTCAGGTCTCGGCTGAAGACCTTCCTTTTCGGCCGCGCCTTTGGTCACCTTCCTCCCCCTCCCCCCGGCTCGGCCCCGGGATCCATTACTGTGAAGCGCTCTGAGACGCCGTCCAGCGTGGAGGGCGCTGTATAAATCCAAGTTGTTGTTTTCTAAGATGTTGCTAACGCTGATTGCCTGCTGTGCTTGCTGCACGAACAGTTACTACATTTCAAATTGTGCTTTTTTTTAGGCATTTAGGGTGGTGTATGAAAGACTATTTAAGTTTGTGAAAACCTACTGACAACATTGATCATGTCTTTAGTTAATTTTCAGTCAGGTGTGGAAAATGTGATTGACTTCACTTCAAGGTCATGCACTTTAGGTGAGATTGAAATAATTTGTTCATCCAAAATTACACTCTTCCAACTCCTGAATGGGTAGATAGCTTTTCATGTCACGAACTGATTTTGAGACTTATGTGAGAAAACATATTAGTTGGAAGGGTGACAATGGTGGCCAAGATGATGCATTTAAATTTGAAGTAATGTGACAGATGTTATGTGATTCTTGTCAAATAGTTGTGTTGGAAAGGCCTGTGACAAAACAAATGGAAGAAAAAATCCCCAACACATGGTCAAAGCACCAAAGGTGGGCCCTTGACTTTGCTTGAGAGTAAAATTTATTGTCAGATTTGAAGTAGCTTATATATTCAGTTCACTAACGTTTAAACAGACTTTTCTGCCCAAAGAAATTTGCAACATAACTACATTAAAGCTACAATATTAATCTTGATTTTTATCGTGATTGAACATTTCAAGGCATAACTATTCACAAAACCATTTACTAATTAAAGTCAACAGTTTAGAACACAGTAATTGAATACAGGACTATAGATTAATTACTGCCTCACTGTGTTTCTGCCAGGTTGAAATTGTTGACGGAAACTATATCAAAATTAGATTTACAAAAAGGAAAAAAAAGATTTGATAGTCCATGAAAGTTGAAGTATAATTTACAAAATAACATCTGGGATAAAGATTAAAGCATTAAAGTCACACAATAATGCATCATTCTAAAACAAATAATGTTTGTATAAGAGATAGGCTTTTACTCAATAAGTACACCATTGGTTGATCACACAGAAGAATTATAAAAATCATTTTGATTCTTCCACAAAAATGAGCACTGAATGGACCAGCAACATTTTTGTGTTGAGCAGAGTTAATATATCATAAGTTTATATTCGAGGGGATGAGGTAGTTTTCCAAATTCATTGTAAAATATTGCAGATTTTATAAGAAGCATGCATGAAAGCTTAATGACAATCTTCATCACAATCAAGTGACTTTCTAAATTGTAGTTTCCTTCAATGAAATACCAGGTTATTAAAATTGTGATTATTAACACGACCTACAAGGTAGTTGGAGGAGATTGTATCTGGTCCTGTGACTTGATTTCTTCAGAACTGACTTGTGCATGTTTTTTTTGACTTTGTAATGATGTGTCTTCTGATTTTTCTTCAGGTGGCTTCTCACTTTTGTGTTTTATATCTTCCGTTGTATCTCCTTCTGCAGAAGCCCCCAGAGGCCTCAAGCGTTCGGCTAATGTTACAGTTTCTTCAATTTCGTTGCAATGATGCTTCAGTACATCACCTTTGTCATGATGGATTTTTTCTGTGGCAAAACACATCATGCAAAAAAACTTATTAGAATCTATAGTTGAATTTTTAATTATTTTAATGCCATCAAAATATGTTTTAAGGCAAATAATTAATCACTGATCCACAAATTGTTGTTGAAGTTCAGTTTCATGATTGGAATATTGTATTGTGAATACAAATATACCTCCACATCTACTGATTTCATGACTTGAACCATTAGCCAGTCTAAGAATTATTCTTACATCAACTCATACATTTAAAGTCTTATTTTTGGCGCACTAAATATAACAACTTTAACATAATTGTATTCATTATGCACGACTGTTAATGTTTCACATTTGTATATCAAAAAATGAAATGCTTATATTTGTACATCAAATATCTAAACCTTTTGCTGGGAAGTATTAATTCTAGATCAACTGATTAGCCATATTTAATGTGTGAGCCTAGACAGTGAGTCTATTCAGTAATGGAAGGTATTGCTACAGAGTCTTACCCTGTTCTCAATCAATAGACACAAACTTTCCAGCGAGGATCAAAGAACATTGATCAGGAGCCTTGACATTCCCTCCGCAGACAATTGGTATTGTTCCAAGTGCTGCCCCACCAAGGATCAGCTAACTCACAGGGAGAGCCTGGGAACTGAACCTGGGAACTCCAGTCTGTATTGCTTCAAGCTAAACCTGTCATGCCTTTACCCAATAGGCCATCAGTGGAGCTGCTGTCTTTTTTCAAAATTATTTTTGACTCAGTTAATAGCACCCATGTATCCAGTTTCAGAAGACTGTGTGTACAGAGCAGTACTGGAGAACTCCTAGTGAAAGGAGTTTATTTGATATCATAAGGTGCTACAAAAATGAAGGTTGTTTCTACCTGTCTTAAGAGGTTGGGACTTTTTGGATATGTAATTGCAGTTATCTTGAGTTGTAGGAACAATTTCTATTCCATTCTTTGGGCAACAACTTTTTAGATGAAATTTCAGTCTCCTGGTCTCCTTAATCCATTCATGTTGCACAGCCTCATCTGGAGTCATACGCTTTTCAGGATCCCACCTTGTAAACAGATGTAGAAAGCTAAAACAAAAACTTTGAATAATAATCCTTGAATTTGCTATAGCAACTATAATGTTGAAACATCTCAAAGCCCTTCACAGGGAAATTTTGCAAAGTGTAGAAACTGTGCAGTCAATTTGCAGACAGTAATGTCCCGAAATGGCCATAAAATGAACGATCGATTTTAGCTGACGGATTATTACGCAGGAAACTGGGACAAAGTCCCATTTCAAATATGTCATGGGATTTTTAACATCCACCTGAACAAGTATACAGACCTCGGTGTAATGATCTGATCCATAGTGCAGCACTTCCAACAATGTAGCACTCTCCCAGCACTGCACTGGAACCTAAGCAGAGACTTGGAACTTTTACATCTCTAGGTAAGGCTTGGACAACTGAGCTCGGCATTGCGTTCTTATGTCAACATCTCATCAACCATGTTTCCTGAAGAGCATATTTAAATCAAATGCCTACCTGTGTCAAATTATGTTTTTTTTTGCTGTCAACTCAAAGTTAAGACTTCCTAAACTTTAAAACTCGATATCAGTTTCAAACAAGTACAAAATTAATCATATTTTTGGATCAACTATAATGTTGCTTTCCTGTGGACATCGAAATGTTCAGATTCCATGATGCATAATGTATTTGTTTCAGAGGTTAGTGGCAAATATATAATAAAAATCACTGTTGATATTCTACTGTTGTATGAATTAAAGTTAGAACTTACGTGAAACAACCTTTCAGGAAATCTATAAAAAGGAGATCATTGGTTCTGAGTATGTTGGCAAGCTTCTTGGAATTTGGGCGCCTCTTCCTTCCTTTACTGTTTGTGATGGTTTTAGGGTGTCCCTTAGAATCTTCAAAAAAAACTACTGTAATCTTAAACTAAAAATGAGGGTTTGAAAACATAAGACAATTCTTACAACAATATTGATAATAATCCTTGCATTTGGTGTACCGCCTTTCATGTCAAGAACGTGTCTCACAAAGCCCTTCACAGAATTCACTGTAATGGAAGATCCCACATAAAGACATGGCTAATTTAATCTGGAAGAAACAGCAGAAGAAACTTCCTTTTCTTCCCGATTAGTGTCATGGGATCTTTGATATTCACAGGTAGACAACATCTCCACATATTTCATCCAAAATATGACACTTCTGATGATACAGAGGCCTGAATGCATCCAAGTTAATGCCTTTAATAGTAAAATCAATGTTTAAAGAGATTTAAAAACACAGATATTTTGCCAGTACTAGTTTGCTTGACAAACTTTTCTTTCAGGATGAGTATGTCTTATTATTGCACATTACAAATTATTAGGGTTACTTTGTGCCAATCAAAAACATCACATATTTGAGCCTGCAATTAAAAGATCACCAGTAATCTGAACACGATAAACCTCATTATTGTAATTCACTGTACTTCCTACCAAAAAACAATCGCCTTCTTTGTCCAGCTTGAATGAAGGCATCTGATGGAACCCCAAATATCTTAAAAATGAAATAAAACCCTAATAAATTATAATAAATTAATCTGAAAGTTTATTGCATTACAACATTGTATTTATTTTGAGGACAATTAATAATGAAAACATTAAAATGTTCCTTACCTCCATTATACAAGCCAGCTGTTCTACTTCATTTTCCCCAGGAAAGAGGGGACAGCCAGTGAGGAGCTCAGCCAGAATACAGCCAAAGCTCCACATATCAATTGCCATGGTATATTGATGACCCAGAATTACTTCAGGTGAGCGGTAGAATCTGCTCTGAATGTATGTGTAAACTATTTTAAAAAAATTAAAAACTAAAATAGAATAATTGAATGAAAATTAAAAGTTTTAGCTTGCTAACAGATTAACGCAATATAATGGAACCTCAATAATCCATGTTCTAATTATCCATCTTCTAAATTACAATCATAATTGTGAACTTATCTGTGACGTATCTTCCATTCTGCCCTCCATCCCAACTCAGCTACAATATTGGACCAGTATAAAGTCTCAACCCATTTAAGGTCTGTAGTTTCTTATGCTGATGGAGTGCTATTGATTAATAAATAGCATGCAATGGTTGATAAAAACACTTTTATAATTATTAAGATTATACTACTGGCATTTTATCATGTTAGAGTACTAGAAAAGAATTTACACATACTAAATAAATTCTGAAAATGCAATAAAATTATTTGTTTTAGCAATATTTAAAGTGATTGCAATTCAGTAAATCATTTGCTTGATTAATGCTTATTTTTGTGTTAAATAATGTCTTGGAATTTAGATTTTTTTAAATTCCTATTTGTACAAACCTTTTTGATAATCAAAGCAGCTTGATCCAAAGTCAATTACTTTTATTGTTCCTTGTCCTTTAGAGCATAGCAATATGTTCTCCTAACAAAGTAACAGAATAACAGCTTTAAAAGAGTAGTTAAATTAGCGTTAGGCAAAAGTTTAATATATTAATTTTTCCAGTATGAAATCTTTCTACTTTCCTCCAGACTATATACACTGATCACCTCAGAAAACAAAGAAGCGATCTGCTTCTCGACCTCCATCAATGCTGCCTCTGGACTAGAGTCAAGACTCCTCCTTTAACTAGTAATTTATACAATCTAATACAAATAACCATGTAAAGTGTGCTTCTTGTTTTATACATAGAAAAAAAACATCCATTATTACATATTTAAATCATGCTTTTTTAAAAAATATTTTGTAATATATAATGCATAACGAATTTACTTCTCATTTTGGTCAGTCTTGGTAACAGCTATCCATCCCAACATTGACTGTAACTATATTCAATGCATGAGGGTTCTTGCTGAAAAAATGATTGTGATTACGTGAATTCAAATTCATCAAGAAATATTCTGAAATGGATTACTGAGAGATTGAAATGAAATGAAATTGTAACAGACGTCAAATCTACTTTTGTTTTGTTGCCACTGGATGGCAGCCTTGCACAATCACATACTGTATATAACTAAAGAGTCTTACTGTGGCACTATCAAAGATGCAATACAATAAGTACAAATAATTATAATCCTAACAATTATCCTTGCACTTGACACATTATCCATAACATCACGAATGTTTCCAAGCCCTTCACAACGTTTCTGTAAATTATGGTGTGTGTCTGTGTTTGTTGCAGAATTTGCATTTGTACGCAAACATCCTAATTGCAAATTATTTAATGTACATTTGAGAAATTACTCATGACTTATCCCAGAAAAGGGTTACGTGCAGCTCTGCCACCTCTCCAAGTCACACAAGTATAACTATAAGCTTCCTATTTTCCTACCATATTTAAATCTATTAGGATTACACCATGTATTATGTTACTCACTGGTTTCAGGTCACAGTGAATAATTTTCTCCCTGGAGAGCATCTGTAAACACTTTAGTAAAGCAAATGCAAAACGACGAACAAGCGATAAGTTGAAACCTTGGAAGTTGTTCTTCTTGATTAATTCATACAGGGTTAATCTGTGAAAAGATTGCAATTCAGTTATCATTTTACATTCCTCAAATCAGTTGAACGATTGCAACTATTAAAAATCTAACACCACTTTGTCCTCTGGTGTAGGCACTGTTAAAATAATGAAGTGATATTTCAGTGAAATTGGATGTATTTTGACCAATCTATCAATGTATATTAAATATCATAAGTAGAGCACTAATTATTTTTAGTCAGCTGGGTGATACACGCTCTCCCCCAACCTTCACCTTCTCCTCTCTGGGATTGGGTAAACAGAATTCGTCCCTCCAGGAAGAGAGTGTGCATTCTATTTCAGTCACAGGGAAATATCCACGTATAGGTGGCTTACATATGTGGAACTCAGTCTAGTTTGGATAATCTTAAATATGGTGATGTTTCCATACCTGTCTGACCAAAAAATAGGAAACTTTGCACACATGGCGAAACCTACCTGTATGTTGTTGAGCAAGTGTCTCAATTATGTGAAACATCTCATTGAGTTTATTCACCATATTAAAGAGACAACTCCATGCTGGAAAATGTGTAATATCCTAACACATTTTATTACCTTTATCAACAATCATGAATCTAAAGCGATCAGGGCTTGCTGATAACGCCATACTACCATTTGTACCAAATTTGGATAATAATAAATTGGTCACTTCAATCCACGATTGTTTGTGGGACACTGCTGCATGGAATTGGCTCCCTCATTTGCCCACTAAATACACAGTCAATTCACTTTACAGTATATTCTGTGAAGCGCTTTGAGACGTCTCAAAGACATGATAAAACAAGGATTATATCAAAACAAGGATTGTTATTATTAGGATTCTTTGGTCGATATTATTCTTAAGTTAACCCATTCTGTAGCGTTATTCATGTGTTATAGTTATTGTTAGAAGATCATTAAAAATAGTCACCTAGAAATATTCTCATAATCCACTCTTCGTTCCACCCTTTTGGTGTGCAGAGCATTGGATATCATAGTCACTAACTCACTCACTGCAACAAACCTTCCAGATAACTGCTGGGCAAAACCTTCTGGTTCCATAACCTTAGAAAAATGTATCATTGTTTTATTAACAACCTTTCCACATATCTGAAAACAACCACTCCTGTGGTCTGCGTCATCTCACCGTGACGGTCAGCTTGACATTGCACGTTATCCAGCAATAGGGTCAAGTCCCTGAGCTCATACTACTGTACTTTGTTCTCGTCTCCAAATGAATTACATTATGTGTAAAAGCAATCCAACATTTTTGTTTAAAAAAGTTTCTTTTTGCAAAAGTAGTAACTTACAAAACAATAATATAAATGATATAATTTTTTATTATTTGGGGAAAAAATTAAAAAGTTTGCGACCCTTGTGTGAATGAGACTCGTTTATGCGATCGTCAGGTTTGTATCTATGTTGCTATCCTGGTTAACGTTAGCATGACAGAACATCAGAAGGCATGAAGTGTTCTAGACAAAGCTATAGGGGTGTAACTGATTTACATAACATTTTATATTAAAGTAGTTAAGTATTAACTACATTTTTTTTACTTAATCTACATTCCTAGAGATTTGGTATATAGAACAAACAGGGGCAATCTGATGCTGATCACTGGCCATGTCCATATAGTTGCACTGTCATGGAAGGCGTTCAAGAGCTACTCTTCATAATTTATGGGGTACGGGGGAGAAGAGAAAGAGACAGTTAAGATAGAAATGCAGTCACTGGACTTTGAGGAATGTCACCTGAAAAATGAACAAAAAAGCTGAAAAACAAGATTCCCACCAGAGAGATTGGAAGATATATTTAAGTGAACATTTAAAAGTTTTGTAAATTATTTACAGTAATAGTTGATGTGTATTAAATTGCAAATACAGTGGTTATTTTTGTGAATTCACACCGACTCAAAATCCATTTTGTTTCAGTAGTCAGGAGTGTTCAAACAGAACAGGTTATGGAGTTGTTGCTGCAAAGAGGCCGTGTGCTGCAAAGTTTGAAACAGCTGGTGTGTAATTATTTTCATTCCAGTGTCATTCCAAGTTCCCATAGTCTGATGAACGCTCTGGCCTTCACTGGGCTCCAGGGATCGTCCTGTTCATTATTATTAGTCAGCAAATGCAACAGAGTGCACGTTCTCACATTTGCTATTATAATTTCCTTCTTTTTAGCATTTGTTTATCAAGTGGCTCAATGCCAAAAGTCATATATCTTGAGGTAGTTGAACCTATCCTCTTTCAAACATTCTGCTGAGCATTTCCAACATTGTCTGTCTTTTTAAGGGCAGACATCAGGCAGAGGAGTGCATTATAAATACTACTGTGCAACAATCAACTCAGAAACTATCGGTCATAATTCTGGTACTAAAACAGTTAATTCACTTTACAGTATATTTTGTGAAGCACTTTGAGATGTCTGAAAGACATAATGCACTATATCAAATGCAAGGATTATTACTAAATCCTTGTAAGAAAATAAACTGAATTATTAATCATGCATACATATATAAAATATAAAATAAATGATAGGTTAGCATTGTATAATTTCAATCTGATTATGTGGTAAGAATGCTATGTCATATTTAATTTGTGCTAGATTTTGATATACATTTTTGTAGAAAATTAGCTTTCACAAACGCAGACTTGCTACCAACCAGTTAATTTAAAGAAAACACACTAGAATGTCAAACCTATTAGCTGCAACATCTAAAATACCACGTTTATTTTGTTTCTGAGTCATATGATCGTGAGGCTGTCTCAGTTTAAGGTCCAGTGAGACTCTTTACATTGTATATCTTGTGCTTACATCACAGGGAAGGAAACATTAGAGCACTGATATTTTCCCTTCTGATGAATTGTGTCCCATACGTGGATGGTTTACAAAAAACATAAAATTCATAATGATCAGTTGGGGGCAACATAAACAAGATTATTATAGTCAATGCCAGTTCAAATGGAATCAGTTATGAACTATACTGAGAAGTCGCTGAGAGGTTAGAGCCTTTTCAGTTGTTAAAAATGTAGATCTAAAATAACTCTAGAGATCTTAAGATGAGATGTAAAGCAATTATCTTAATTTCAAACTTCTTGTGCAAGGAGCTTCTACACATAAGTGAACCCCAGAAGATTGGAGGGTTGACATATATCCAATCACAGTCTTATTGACAATTATTTTATCAAATCACCCCCCACCCCACCAGTAGTTATCAATTTAAGACATTATTTCTGTACATATAATGAACCTGTGTGCAAACTTTGTGAATGAAGTGAAAGACAATATTTCAAAGTTCCAGAAACAGACTTTTTATTTGTCAAAGTAAAACATTAATTTTACTTTCAAAACTGAAAGAATACCAAAAATCTGATACAAATTAAAAGTTGCAGACCCTTTGGTTACACTGTACCACAACAATCATACTGGTATGAAACCTGTTGTATAAACTATAGTTCCAGAGTCCAGCTTTAGATTATTTACTCTAGTTGAAACTATACCATATTCAGTCTGGAACTAAACCCGTCACCTATAATTGAATTTGAACAAACCAGTTTTCAGACACCATTGAACTATATTTTTGGCTGTTTTATTATGATTATTTGCAGCTTAATAGCATTTCATTCCTGGGTTACATTCTATAAGTTAATCAAACAATAATCTGCATTTATATAGCACCTTCACATGGGTTATAGGGGCAGTTATTGACAGAACACAGAAAAAGACAAAATCTTTGCTGCTATGGCCTAAGAGTGGGGAGTTTAAGGGAAGAAATGTTTGTAGTGAACAGCTCCAGCATGACTTGGTTGAATAGTGGAAATATGAAGATTGAATATTGGGATGTCTTGCAAGATAACCATTGGAGTATTTATGCAGATTGTTCCCTCAAGAGATCAAATGAGTGTAATAGAACTTATGATTAGGTAGATTGGTAATGGCCTGTGGGAATCAGCCTCTATGCGGTAACTGAAACATCAGGTTACATCCCCACCTGTCCTTTCTCCCTCGTATTCAATCAGGACACCAGGAAAAACTCCCTTTTTATATTGAACAAAAGTTGTCCTTTAAAATTAAATTGGGCTACTACCAGAATTAGATACAAGGAGACAAGTAAAGTGACTGTAGCTTACCCTAATAGTTCAAAGGAAATGCACAGATGATTTCGGAAGTAAAAATACTCCAGCATATGAATAACGTTGTGGCTGCCATCTTTGTCCTTTTTGCGTAAAATATCTAAAATCTTCAGCTCCACCAAAGCTTGGTGGTGAAATCTATTTTTTTTAAAAAGAATAGGACAGTTCATATAGTACAACTGTTTTGGCTGTTCAAGGTTTTATGCATTTACTTCAAGAGTTGTTATGAATTGAAAGTCATGGGAATATATTTTTCTGACCAGTGAAATTCACTCAGGTATAATTTAAAGCAGATATTAGCTGGAATGAAAATCCTTCCATTTGCACAAATGGATTAGTAACAATTGTTATGACTTAGTTAAACACTCAAGTCAACAAATTGGGGTGGGAAATCTAAAAACAACAGAGTAGAACCTACTTATATAGCAGATAACCCGATGTTGTTTTCCTTCCCTGAACTGCCCAGCTTCCTGCAGGCTGTCTAACCTGCATTACAAAAATAACAGCCAACTTCTAGGGTACCAGGTCATTGACGACATTTTTCTTGCAAAGGGTATTTACGAAGTGACATTGGCGGTGATCTGATGACCTGGAGTCAGTTGGTTAAGTTTAGGAAGTTTCCAGCATAAAGTGTGCGTGCACAGCATGCAGGAAGTAATATCATCAGCAACCCAAATGCCCTGGAGGATGGTCACGTCTTTGAGCATGCTCAATGTGCTGACTGGAAACCCTTCATGATCGTGCCCAGTTATAAAGTGAGTTGACATTTTGGAATCCATCTACCACCTTATGAGGTTCTACTGCAGTATTTCTATATTGTAGTTTACAATTAAAATTGATTTACAAATAATATTAAGAGAACTTACCTTTGTTTGTTTCGTATTATCTTTATAGCCACCAATTCATTTGTTTTATGATCCAAGCATTTTACCACTTGCCCAAAGGATCCTTTGCCTATGACTTCAAGAACTTCATATCGATACGATAAATGGTCATGTAACACCTGAAAAAATATTCAGAGTGGTTCAGAACAAATGGTTTGTATTATTTTGGAAACATGTTTCTGTTTGAAACGGGGACCCTTGTTTAAAGGCATTCTCTTCATCATGGGCCAATTTGAAAAAAAGCTTAGATGGACCAACTAATGTTATTAATAATGATCCTTGCATTTAATATAGTGCTTTCCATGTTTTCTAGACGTCTTAAAGCGCTTCACAGAATAGAGTGTAAAGTGAATTGGCTATTTATTTGTAGGCGCAACCCGGCAGCCAATTGCGCACAGCAATGTCCCACAAACAGTCGTGGATTGAAAGTGACCAATTTATTATTGTTTTGGAGGGGTTATTATTAGGCGTGTGGAGTAAGGAAACTTGCCCAAAATATTCAGGATCTGACACCTATGAGCCTTCACATACCTTGATGTAAGAACCGTGGACATCATCATAACCACTGTTTTGCTGTCCACCAGGAACAGCATCTATCTTTTCGGCATCCAGTCCAAGAAACCACAGTTCTCGATAATTTTGGATTTCCTCACATTCATAATTTACCAGGCCACTTTTGAAATTCTTCAGTGCTTCTATTCAAATCAAACAAACACTGTATGATGCTTAAGGCCGGTTTAAAACATTCATTGCATCACATAATACACTATTTGTTATTTAAATATTACATGCTTCCAACAGCTTATCTTTTTCTAAATAGATAAAAACAAAAGCTTGTGTTTATAGAAGACCAAGCATTGAAATGTTTTATTCCATACAACCCTCAGGGAAGTTAGTCAACAATACTTATTCTTTATTAGCTCTTCATTGAGTTTCAATTGAAACTTTTGAATCAAATATGACCCGAGCACGTGTATAAATAAAGCAAATCTTTAATAAAGACAAACTTAAATAGAATTAGACATCTTTACACCAACTCAAAGAAGTCTTATGTAAGCACTAATTGCTGGCTATATCTGATTTGATTAATACTATACCTGTAGATGTCATAGGCAAATTAAGACCTTGAAATGTTCTTTTCTCATTCTTGTTTGTCTGTGCTTTGCTAATAATTTCTTGAAAATTCTCGATTAACCCCAACCTCGTTATCTGTTGTCGACTAAAGCTGCAAAACCTTTCATCCTAGAAATAAAAATAATAAGTCACAGTACTTCATTTCCTCTTCTTAACATTTTAATTATCATATTCTCAATCAGGTATCGTGACACAATGTGCTAATCATATAAGAATAATTTACTTCTAAAACATATTTAAACTGTGCTTCCACTGGTACAATACTTTTTTTTAGTTACTTTCAGGAATATGAACGATAACAAATAAAAGAACCCAAACAAAAATAAAATATTTATGGTCACTATCTACGCAAACAATATGACTGAAAGTTATGATAAAACAAGCTCCCCCATCTATTCTGGCTAAGTGCTAAGAAAGTGTTCATTACTATCATAAGTACTCTTAATGCTCTTCAGTCTCTGCCTTCCACTCACAAAAGGATAAAAATAGACGTCAGATGCTGACCACTCCTGTCCTCGCCAGGCTCCACTGGCTGCTTCTGATCAACTTCAAGATAATCATACTCACCTACGAATTCCTTCATGCCCTCATTCTTCCCCAATTCTGATCACCACCAGCTTCACTTTTGCTCCACTTGGCAAATTTGGATCTGCTGTGCATCCCCCTCCACCCAACCCATCGCTGGCTGAGCCTTCAGCCTCTATATGCACCCACCCTGGAAGTCTACCCCTCCTCTACCTTCAAAAGCTGCCTAAAACTTATCTGACAGTGCGTACGGTCATCTTACTCGTCCCCCTACTGTCTCTGCTTAACATCTGGGAAAGTCTCTGTAAAGCACAACGAGACATGACTCTTTAAGTAAGGGGACCGTAATAAATGCACATTGTATCACAAAGCAGCCTCATAAAATGTTAATAGATTTTGGTTACCTGGTGTGTTTTCTGTCCATATGGCAAGGTTTTATTGGTTATCTGAGGAAGGATACGTTCGTCTTGGTTTGCTTTGAGAGCAGTAAGCGTGGAGTGGTTGATAGGGGGCTCCAACTGGGGGAGGGAGCCAATATTGGAGGTATGCTTCTAACAAAACAGAAATATGAAACCCGTGAGACATCACATATTCAGTCCACTGAAGGCTGCCCAGTGACTCAAGATGTTCCAGCAATGAAATGATTATCAGCAACAACTACCAATCCAAAAATGCTGACCGGCAAACTTTTTATTAAAACCTGCCCCCATTATAACATGATTTTATGGACCCAATTCATTGTTATAATGAGGTCTGACTGAATAATAATAATAAATTGATACCATGCTATCTTGGATACTTATATTTTTACCTTTCGGTATGTTTTGCTGGTACCCAAGTGATTTTTTTCTGCAGGGATCAGTTGTTTTGAACAATTCTGAGATGTCTAAATTGAGATAATCAGAATATACAATATTAGGATACAATTTTAGAAGGTTCAAATGCTTATCTAATTCAAAAGTTATTTATTCACAGTAAGTATTCCTTTGCTAGGCTCTCTCTCTCTTGCAAAACCTTTTTAAAAACAATCATTTTCAGCATGCCTGCCTTTGGTCACCACCCCTCAAATTCCCCTTTCTTTCCCAACATACTAAGATGCTAATCAGGATAGAAAAAGTTACCCAGAACAATAATTTCAGATATGACAAGTTAGCACAAGTTCAAGATTATAAAGTTCACTTTTAAAAAGTACCTCCTTGTAACCCTGTGCCCTAATATGATGAGAGGACTAAGGCTCTTTGGTTAATCTATCCAAAAAATATTTGGCTAAAAATACATTCACTACACTTTACAGTACATCCTGTGAAGAGCTTTGAGACATCCTCCCAGTGTATCAAATGCATGGATTATTATTTGGTACCATGGACTAACATTGTCTCCTCTTTACAGCTTGTATCGTGTTGTTCATCACCATTAATGAGTGTGATTTTTCCTAAACAATGGTTTATTTTTGAAGCTGTTGTGCTATTTCAGTACAATTTGTGGTAAAATCACTTCCTTTGGTTTGTCTAACAAACGGAGGAAGTATGCATCAAATAGGACAAACATAGACCATGCAAAACATCAGTCAAACCCCATGGTGAGTACTGAATGTCATCTATTCTTTCATATTATTGCCCTTAACAGTATACAGACACAGAAAACAGCAAGATGGTGTATATCAGTTATGAGGAAAAGCTAAGGAAGCTGCTCTTTGGAAAAGAAGACAGTTGCTTTGAGGTGAGATAAGGTACTTTTAATTTTTTTTAGTTAAAATTAGGATGGGGAGTGACAAGTTGATCAAGGTTTTTTCCCCCAGATTGTTCAAGGCAAAGAATTCAAACATTAGGCATACAAATGAAAATTTAGCTAATGGAAGTCAGGTGCAATTTAAAATATATATTGTATATATATACACACACACACATACACACACACAATATCATAATTGACCTGCATTAAGATTACCAGGCATTCTGCTTATATAATGCTAACTCAAGAGAAATGTTAGAAATCCATAGCATTGCCAATCAACATCTGAAAAGAGAAAAGATCATTTTTTTAATGTGTGTATTGCAGGCTTTTCTGGTTATATTTCAGGTTTCTACCATTTTCATTTTTTCTTTTTATTGATGCTAATACAATACACCTACCGATACTAGCACAGTTGTTTGCTATTATTTGAAAAACTATTATTTTGTTCTTTCCATTGCACAGTAACATCAATGACTGCAAAACATGCTCCTTCCAATAACCAATTATTATTTCTCCATTATCACAGGCATTATAACTATTAAGCTCTCCAAGACGCTACCCCGTGTGAAGGGCGCAATATAAATGCAAGTTGTTGTCAGTGTAAAAAGATTCCAGGTGATGTGGCCTAAGATAAAGACATTTCTTACTTAAAAATAAATCTTTAAGATTAATTTATTTGCATATACTGAACACATATCTACTTGATACTACTGCATAAATTACTTGAAAATTGACAAAATAAAACAATTTGCAACTCGGCAAATGTGGTTATAACAGCCTCTCAAAACAACCCTTGAAATACTAATAATAAATACAAGTGTGCATCACATAGAACAATGTACCAGAGCTCTTAGTTAGGTTAGTGACTGAAGGCATGGTCAGAGAAATGCAACAATTATTGTTATAAAGTGTAAAATTAACTGAAAATGATTTTAAAAAAGTTAATCCTCAGATACAAAACCCAACAGCTGTAGCAAAACAATGAATGTGTAAATTGCAAAACAGAATTTGAACAATTTACTTTATATATGAAAAATAATAAAACCAATTATTTGCCTATACTTCTACTGAAAAAAGCCACAAGTTACAAATAAACTATTGTAGACGTGCATACCTGCGGTAGGATTCTCTTGTTTCTTCTCAATTGTAACCAGTGGTTATTTATCAAGCATGAATCACAATAATCCTTTGCGATCCTCTTTGCCCCCCATCTTGCTTCAGGTTCATGCTGTAAACCTGCCATCAAAGAATTTTTCTCTTTTAACCTAATTATAATCGCTGATTTTAATCCTAATGGTGATTTACATTTTTATTTTTGACTTCTGCATCAATTTCTTAGAGATGTTGATAATTTCCCTAATTTAAGACAATTACAGTCACCTCCCCACTCCCTCTCCCCCTGGCTCAGGGTCAGACTCCGCCACTGTCAAGTGCTCCAGGACGCTACCCCGTGTGAAGAGCGCTGTATAAATGCAAGTTATTACTGGAGAACATCCCATATTGCTTCACAGGATATATTAGAAAGTGGAATAACTATGTTTTGTGGGTTAATATACATTAATTTATCAACACTATCTTCACTGTACACAATACCAATATTATCCAATTCATCATAGCAGAACATTTCTGATCAAAACACATTGCTTCTGGCTATTGACGAAACTATTGCTGTACCCAATCAAAATCATAGAATTCCAGGAGAAAAATTTAAACTTACATGAATGCTTTATTCAGTATTTATTCTGTATTTTATTATCAATGGGAATCATCTCAACACCGTTTGTAAGCTTTTGATTATTTTTTCCATAGTTTTTCTATTATCCATTGATTACCCTGCAGTTTTGTGAATCCTTCACAAGAAATACACTATTTTAGGTAATTCACAACTTTGAAATTAACTCCCGTATATTGAAACAAATGACTAAATTCTTTTGCTCAAACTTCAAAATTAAAATTCACATTTACAATAAAGTATATTTCAAGACTGTAGAACAAACTATTTGGTGATGACATGTACATGTTTTCTTACATTAGAAATCAAACCAGATATTACACATGCATAATGTTCACTTTTCACTGAATAATAAATTATTGTAATAGTTTTGTTCTTTTTAAAATGGAGACTTTTTTGGTAACACAAATGCATTATCATCTGGTTCCTCCACGCTCCTATACATTTCCTTTGGAGATTGTATGTAATGATTAAATGACCTTGAAATTTCTCCACACCATTTCAAAGCCTCACCAGTTCCCTATAATTATCTGGGATTATTATATAGCAGATAGTTTTACATAATCACAAGTGTCAATGGTATCTGAGATTTCCTTTCTTCCAGACTTTGTTTGAGCTTAGGCACATTAAAATGTATTTATGACAACTTCCAATATAAATCCAATAATTCCTAAGGCTTCAAAAATATACCAAGAAGTTCTTGAAATTCGTGAATGGCCTGATGTTAATCAGTCATTTTCTATAATTGAGAATACACTGCAAATATATTGGCAAGTATTGTAATATCATCTGGCATGTAGCCTAAATAAGGCAAAGGAGTTATAAGCTTTACAAGAATTCACTCCAGGAAACATACTTGGTTCTTACTTGGGCTGATTAAATGAACAGAAGTCTCATAATGAGTTTTCTTTTTGTTCAACATACTGCACTTCTCCAAAAGCATTAAATACAACATCTTCTTCTGACTGCTAAACCAAAATAATAAGCGCCACAGTGAACATGGCAACACTGTGTATATTTTAACAATGCCATTGCCAACTGATGTATGGATACAACTAAATTTCTGTATTAACACGTGTAGTGTTTAGAGCACTCGCTTTGCAAGCGAGACCCGAGTTCAATTCCAGGCAGAGGGAAACCTTGGGCAAGTTTCCTTACTCCATACGCCTCAGAATAATCGCTCCCCCAAAAAAAACAATAATAAATTGGTCATTTTCGATCTGCGACTGTTTGTGGGACATTGCTGTGTGCGCAATTGGCTGCCGCGTTCGCCCACAAATATACAGTCAATGGAATGCGCACTATCTCCCTGGAGAACGTGCAAGTAGCACCACCAACATCACCACGTCACATCAGTGGCAACCTGATGGCAAGCCAGCTGGCATGTGGGAAGCCAAACTGGATGACTACTAGGTCGTCAAGTAACTAAGTTTTGAAGTGCTGATTGAGCCAACCGTGAATTTTGGATTTTCAAAAAATAAATACAGTTGATAATAGCACCCCAAAAAAAGCCACGAAGGGAATGATCGATTTTATCTGGAGACTGTCAGCTACAACACCAGAAGAGACTTCCCTCTCTATGAAACAGTCCGAGTTAACATCGACTGAACAGGTATTTGGGATTGTCATCCGGGAGAAACTCCTTTCTCTTTTGGAGTAGTGTCATGTGATCTTGAACGTCCACCTCAACCGGCAGACGTGACCACAGCTTAATGTTGTATCCAATGCATCAATGCAGCACTCCCCCATCACGGCAATGGAATGTCAGCCGAGACTGAGCTGAACTCACAAAACATACAAATATACTTGTGATAAATTTAATGCTACAACTGCTACATTCAGCCACATTTGTTTTTAAATCAATTACAGCCGTGACCAGTTGGAATATCTTCCTTGTATGTCGTAATTGTTAAAATGTTTCTGTTGGAAAAAGCAACTGTTAAAAAAAAACTATTGTTGTCTTAAGATATGTATCCCAATCCAATTAAAAGAACCTTCAACACGCCACTACCACTCAAGTCAACAACTTGCATCTATAGAGCATTTCACATAAGATTTACACAATGAGATAAATTAGAAAATAAGTTAATAATGCTTAAGAAGGCAAAAAAGACAGCTAAATTTGCACTTGCAAAGTCCTAACACCAAAATAAAATGAACAGACTCACTATTTAGCTGCAGTGAGAGTAACTAGTAATCTCACGTGCATGCATATAACTGGATGGTTTGCTGGTAGTGTAAATATGTTTATACTTTTGTGCAATATAGGGTTAGAACCAGAAAGTTATAGAGAAAGTCAGAAACTCAGAGAGAGAGAGAAACAAATGGCGAGCACAGTGTGGTACTACAGCAATAATACTAATTCTTGCATTTGATATGGCACCTTTCACAACAGGAGAATGTCTCAAACTGCTTCCCAGGATTCACTGTAAAGTGTATAGTGTCTACATTTTTAAGCAAGCATGGCAGCCAATGACTACTAGTTCAAAATCCTAATGTTGGGTTTGAATTTACAAACATTTTGACTCAAAGACGACAAGAGTGAACCAGGCTGACACACATAGTGAAGGTATAACTCCTGATGAAACAATAGATTTTTTTTAATTTAGTTAATTTGTACTTTTCAATATGACCAGTTGTGCTCAGAGTTGTGCGCTTATCCAAAATGAGGATTGTGTCAATTGTTCTGTACTATGAAAGTTGATTTAGTCTCGATAATTGTTTTAGTTGTGGAACTGAGACAATGCCCCAATCTTTTAAGTTATATTCTCAGGTTTATGATATCAACTGACCACTTTAAATAAATTATTCATTTCCAACTATCAATAATTCTCTACAACTTTTACTTTACATTTTCACAGCAAAATTACATCATTAATAATCCTGTTCCTTACAAATATTAATTAAGATCTACATACCACTTTAACAACAACAACCAACAAAATGACATGTGTATAGCATCTTTCACGTCAGGAGGACGTCCCAAGGCGCCGGACAGTCACAGTTCCAGACCCGAGTTAGGGGTCGGGATTGCGGAAGGTCGAGGGCAAGGAGGGGAGTGGAAGCAGGGTGATCGAAAGCACGGTCGAAGAGGAGGGTCTTGAGATGGATCTTGAAGGAGGCAAGGGAGGGGGTGCGGCGGAGGGACTGCGAGATGAAGTTCCAGAGGGTGGGGGCAGAGTGGCAGAAGGCCCGCCTGCCAATGATGGGGCGGGCAAGGCGGGGGGATGTGAAGCAGACCAAAGCCCGCTAAGCGGAGTGAGCAGACAGGATGGTAGGGGGTTAGGAGGTCACAGAGGTAGGGGGGAGATAGACCATGGAGAGCTTTGATGGTGAGGACTAGGATCTTGAACTGTATCCTGTGTGACGGCACTTTAAATCCTTAAGATTAAGCCAAATTCCTCAGGTTCACTCAATTCTTATACAGAAGGTCAGAATTGAATTGTTTACCTGAACAATCGAAGAATGATGAGATTTCCCCCTTTTCCTAAGCAATGGAAGGGTGCCATTGTTTTCTTTTTTCAGTTTTTCCACCTTGCATCGGAGTGACTTTCTGGAAGTTTACATTAGTACATTATTTTATTTGATTCCAACTATCACAAAATGTTCTTAACACAAAGATAAACTCTTAGAAATACTTCACAATGACTATTGAATTATCCCTTTTACTTTATTTCTTCTCATCCTGGATGAGAAGAAATTAGAAATTGAATAGATTCATAATTAGTGAAATCAATAAACAAGAGATTTCTGCTGACAAGAGCTTGCACACGAAACAAAATTTAAATGTGGCTTAAATTGTAACTTTTAAGTTAAGCAATAATCATGAAATATAACTTTGAAACTAAAACATAATTTTAAAAGTTCTTGTGTTGCACCCAACAAAATCTACAAGGCTCAGTATTAAATATTTATATTATGGCATGAATGTGTTCTCCAAAACTACAAAGGAAAGTTAACCCTGAACCAGCATTAAAGGAATCATGCTGAAAGGTTTCTGCAGTTACTTTCCACTGAACTTACAACACACAAAAACAATACCTAGAAAGTTGACAAACAGGTTTTGTGAGGCAATTACACAAATTCCAACCCACATATCCTTCATTCAATGCATCTGAAATTTTGAGAGAGAAAGTAATCTGTGTCCTTTGATTACTGCGGGGTTAATTTACCAACCAAAAACAGCCATCTATGATTTGGTGAGCTGCTTGGTTGCTATGTCTATATCTACAAAGAGAAGCTGCCATTTGGGGCATATTTCTTTAATTTAAATCTACTTTGTTTCAGAAATAAAGATCCACAAATTAAGACGAATGAAAATGTAAACCCATTAGCTGTATATACTGTACATACACATATATATATATAAACACACATGCAAATAATGGGAAGAAAGAAAAGTAAAGGGCAATTAAAGTATAACTTTCCTACTGCTTCTCATTCATTAACTAATTGCGCTTTGATGAAAAAGGTGACTTCAAATCAGATCTTCTGATCTTCGTGGAAGTTGTGCTCGCACGAAATAAAAGTACAATTTAACTGAAACGATCGGTGAACCGCAATTCCCTTCTCCATCAAAAACTTATAGGGGACGAAACCAGTTTGTGTGTCCAGTTTAGAGGGTTCGAAACCAAAACATATGAGAAACTACCTCTCCTGTCACCTGTGGATAAAACACTGCGAAGCACAAACTGCAGTACAGTAGGCAGTTGGTCACAACGTGAGTAACAAAACCCCCTCCTGGTAAATACTGCGGCACAAAACATAACAGGTTGAAGCGTTTAACCGCACGCGGTGGGAAAATCATAATAAAATAGCACCAGGCGTCCAACTTGTGAAGGACCACGAGAGACTGACTGGAGTCCATCTGCAATCACAAAGCAGTGGCGTCGCCTTTCCTGCATCTCACCAGAGGGAATGTCATTATATATATATATATAATAATAATCCTTGCATTTAATATAGCGCTTTTCACGTCGGGAGGACGTCCCAAAGCGCTTCACAGAACACACTGTAAAGTGAAGTGACTGTATATTTGTGGGCGAACGCGGCAGCCAATCGGGCACAGCAATGTCCCACAAACAGTCGGGGATTGAAAACGACCAATTTATTATTGTTTTTGGTTTTGGAGGGATTATTATTAGGCTCTGTGTGGAGTAAGGAAACTTGCCCGAGGTTTCGCCCTCTGCCTGGAATTGAACTCAGGTCTCTCGCTTGCAAAGCGAGTGCTCTAACCACTGAGCTACAGGACTCCACATATATACCCACAGTCAGGTGTATAACTTCTGCCATCTTTTTTTTGGGGGGGGGGTGGGGGGGGAGAGTGAGTTTTAATTCTCTCCGAACTGCAATGAATCCACACAATAATAAATAACCCGTTGGCACATGGGATGAGGCGAAGGGAGTCCTGTAGCTCAGTGGTCAGAGCACTCGCTTTGCAAGCGAGAGACCTGAGTTCAATTCCAGGCAGAGGGCGAAACCTTGGGCAAGTTTCCTTACTCCACACAGAGCCTAATAATAATCCCTCCAAAACCAAAAACAATAATAAATTGGTCATTTTCAATCCACGACTGTTTGTGGGACATCGCTGTGCGCAATTGGCTATCGCGTTCGCCCACAAATATACAGTCAATTCACTTTACAGTGTGTTCTGTGAAGCGCTTTGGGACGTCCTCCCGACGTGAAAAGCGCTATATCAAATGCGAGGATTTTTATTATCATTATTATTATTATTATTATTATTATTAAGGCTCTTTGGAGGACGCGGTGCGTCGGCAGCCACCGCCGCGCTGCGCGTCACCACCGACCGACCGACCGACCGACGGAGTCGCCGGTGAGGTCTCAACAAACGGTCCTTTCTTCGCCCCCAACCGAGGCCGCCCCTCCGGCCGTGGCCTTTCTTTTTTTTCTTCGGGGTCGGGGGGGAAAAAAAAAGACGTACTGTACATCTGGACTGTGAGTGAACTGTTTTACTCACTTGCCGTCACGCGGTAGGTTCAGCATCTCTTGCGCTTCATGGGGCTGAGAAAACGGCGACGGCGGCGGCAGCAGCGGCCACCACCCGGGGGGGGGGACCGGAGGGCGGGCGGGAGAGAGCGAGAGGGAGGGAGGGAGGGAGGGGGGAAAGCACCTGCTCCACGGCGCTCGAGCCAAACACCTCACCCTTCCCTCCCCCCCACCCCGACACCTTCAGTGCGCGGTCGCGTCACAAAGGAGCGCGATGACGTCCGCCATTGTGACGCGCGGCCCGCCGGCACGCGCTCCACCCCTCCGCCACGCCCCGCCCCCTTCCCTGCGGCCCTCGCTCTCAAATAACCGTTGGCCGGAGGTGGGTGGGAGGAGGGGAGAAGCGGGAAACCGTCGAGGGACGACGACGACGACAACGTGCACGTGAAAGGCGCTCTGTAAATGTCATTTTGTTGTTGTTGTTGTTGAGGGAGGGAGAGATCCAGGGTTTGTTTTTTTTTTGGGGGGGGTGGGGGGGGAGCGCAGTGGTGGTTAGTGGCTGAAGGCACGGCCGCCGATGGCGGAGCGGGAGGGGGTGAGGGGCGAACGAGGGAGGCCGCAGCCGCTCGGTCGGCAGGTGTGAGGGCCTGAGGGTCCGCGGTTTGGTTGTGGAGTGACCTGCCAGGTCAGGTGGGACAGGTTAGAGGCCGCGTTGGGTTTGAATGGGGGGGTCATTGGACAGTGCAGCACCATTTATGCTGCCCAGTTTTTCCACTTGCTCTCTTTTTTTTCCCCAACGTTCTCGCCGGGCGTCACCATCAAAACCGCTCAGTGTAGATGCTAAGCCCAGGAGATGTGAGCGTGCGTTCACACTCCAGATACATCCTTCCACTCTGAGCCCCTCTGCTCACCCCCATCGTAAAGCTTTCCCTGTCCTCTGGGACCGTTCCCACCCCTTTAAAAACTGCTCTCGTCACTCCTATTCTTAAAAAAAAAAAAAAACCCTCCCTGGACCCTTCTCTACTCCCCAACGACCGCCCCATCTCCAATCTCCCCTTCCTCTCCAAGGTCCTGGAACGAGTTGTTGCTTCTCGGCTTCGCTCCTTCCTCTACTGCCACTCCCTTCTCGAACCCCTCCAATCGGACTTCCGTGCCACCCACAGCACAGAAACAGCCCCGGTCAAAGTGTCAAATGACATTCTGACCATCTACGACCAGGGCTCCCTCGGCCTCCTGGTCCTCTCTGCTGCCACTCTATCCTCACCCACCGCTTCTCCTCTCAACTCAACCTCCACAGCACTTCCCTTGATTGGTTCAGATCGTACCTCTCACACCGCCTGCACTTCAGCTCCTCAAACGGCCTCCTCTAGCAGTCTAAAGCCTCACTTTTGACATCTTACTAAGAGGTTCAAGAAACCATTTATTGTAAATTTAGTGCTGAGCTCAGTATCAAAAATGTCTGAGTAGAAATGTCTCAATCTTTAGGACCACCACAATCCTTTAAAACCCATATAGTTGCATGAAACAAAGCCACAGAGTCTTTTTCAATAATCAAGTTGATATGAAGATTACATTTAGTGAAGAGGCTTACAAAAATAATGGAAGAATCCCTCACATTGTTAACTTGTAAGAAATAATATTTTAGATGGAATATTTAGGAACATAGGAACAGGAGTCAGCCATTCATCCCACAAAGCCATTTTGCTATTTTATTACATCTTGGCAGATGTTTTAATTCCATTTTCCATCTTCCATCCCTTTGTACATCCTACTTCCCAAGCATCTATACATCTATTTATCTCAGTTTTAGATATCCCAATCAATAGTTCATTGAACCCCTTCATAATTTTAAACACCTCTATCAGGTCTTCTCTCAATCATTTTTATCTCCAGGTGAAAAAAATCTGTCAAATATTTTCCTATAGTAATATTGTCTCATCTCTGGTAACATCCCAGTAAATCCATGATGCACCAAATTTTGTATTCTTTAAATCACTAGTTATATTTGCAAAAAATTGTCTGACAATATGCATTTGTAATTCTTACATAAATGCAAATTCTGATATTAACGACCTTATGTAATTATAGTTGTATGCTGCCACCATGTGGTAAGATAAAATTTTGTCCTTAAACCATAAAGGTTTCTAAATGTACTCCTAAATATTATAATCTGCTAAACCGCAGTAAAACATGAAGCATCTAACTCAAGGCTGTATAGAACAATAGCTAGGAACTTGCAGAAGCAAAATGTAAACAGAATAAAGTCATGATGCAGTTTTATATTCACTCACAAAATATACAGTCAATTCACTTTGCAGTATATTCTGTGAAGCGCTTTGAGACGTCTGGAGGACGTGATAAGGCGTTATATCAAATGCAAGGATTATTATTATTTCTGCTCCTAGGGCGCAGAAAAGTACAAACCATAGTACACAGAAAGTACAAACAGTGTTGTAGTTTATTTTAAATTATCAAATTGGTAGAATTGACACAGACTGAACCAGGTTGATATTACTCAACCTCAAAAGGATATTAATGCAATGAAAACAGTTCAGAGAACAAGAATCATTTTTAATACCTTGGTTATTAGAATAAAACTGCTAATGGAATGCTATTGCACTCTTACTACTCATGGTCAAAAGATCACAAGTTGTTCAGATAAAGAAGACCATTTGCAGTCCATCTGATCTTATCCCTTCCAGAATACCCACTCTGCCCTCTTCCCATTACAGCATTATAGTTTCTTAATTGAGTACAATTAAGTACTCAACCACCTCTACCACCCTTCCTGATCAGCCATTTCAACTGCTAATTATGTAAATAAATGCTTCCTGGCATTTTATCCCAAAATTGACCCTGAACCTGTGCCATCTTTGTGTGTCAGCCTGGTTCAGTTGGTAGCACTCTCGCCTCTGAGTCAGAAGGTCATGGTTCAAGCCCCACATCAGGACTTGAAACTCATAAAGTTTAGGTGGCACTCTAAAGCAGTGTGAGGTTGTACTGCATTGTTGGAGGTCCATCCGTGGGATGAAACGTTAAACTGAGGTCCCATCTACTTGTTCAGGTGGACGTTAAAATCCCATGGCACAATTCAAAAAAGAGAATGGAGTTTCTCCCAAGTATCCTGGCCAATAATAAAATTGTTCATTCACTTCATTGGTTGTTTGTGGAACATTGCTGCATGTAGATTGGCTTGCCACATCAACTGAGTTACTCCACTTTACCTTACATCCTGTAAAGTGCTTTGAGATGTTCTTGTGATGCGAAATGCACTATATTGAATGTAAAGGTTATTCTGACAATATATTTTCAACTTACTAGAAGAGAAATGAAGACATCTGCTGTAAATCTGCAGACCAGAACTTAAAATTGGACTTTCCTGTGCTTTGTGGTTCAGTTCCCCACCCGATTGACTGGCACACAGTTTGATGTATTTACAAATAAAAATTTAGAAGATTTTATCATTTCCAAAATAAATTATATAATTTGTTTCATTTAATCTTGCGGATGTAAAAATAATGTTTTAATGATTTGTTCAATGCATATTTGGATTGTTATGGATTTCAGCTGTAAAACACTCACCACTTCAGGCTTTGACATCCGCTTGTCCTGTTTAATTGTAAGAAAGAAAACAACAGCTGCTTGCCTATCTATTGCTTTAGGAAAATGCATAGTGGAACAGGGAACAATGGTACTGAAAGAGCAGAAGCCCATGATGTAATGTATATTTTTCAAGAGGTAAGCATTTATCTAAGTTGAGCAAAATATTGATCAACCAAATTCCTGTAACTGAAACTGTCCTGTTTGGAACATTTCCAGTTCTGACTTCAGATCATTGATTCTTCTTGTCTAGAGATTCAGGAAATTTGTGAGAAAATTTCATAAAATAGTACATGATTAAGCTTGATCTCAGTTAAAATACCTCTCTACCCAATTCTTCCTATGATCTTCCAAATGCTGGAGGTGTGCTAGCAAGACTATTATTTGTGAAAAAAGTTGTATGCACCGCTGGCTTTTTTAAAAAAACTAAGTCAACACACATTTAGGAGAGATAAATCTTACCTGACTATTCGTATATTTTGGTTAATTTCCCCTACCCTCTCCAATTCGTGTAAGGTTTTGAACAATTTTGTGTGGGACCTTGTTGTCTAAGTCAGGAGTTTTTGTTTTAGATGTTAATAACAGTTACACGACTGAACCCTTATCATACGTATAAACCATACAATCAGTTTTAGCGCTGAGATGCTACCTTGCATAGAGGGCACTATATAAGTGCACGTTGTTGTTGTTTTAGCGTACCGACTAATGCATCTTAACTGCAACTGAGATATAATTATGGGGAAATATTAAGTATACAATTCATCTGCCACAATAATGACTAGTAGCACTGAATGTACTAAATATTTACATAATAATGGTGCAATGTTACAATCAGTTGAAACATTGTAGTTTGCCCAAACAAATTGATTTCTACTTCACTCAACTATTATAATTAGAATAAGAAACTAACTTTGTGAAAACATCACTAGGCTCAATGGACATAAGATTTAAGATTATTACTTTTAAATATTGACTATTTCTGGGGCTGTTATTATTATTCATCAGCATAATACTTTACTTATTTGATGTAAAGCATGATTTACAGCTTTTTGAAAAGCTGATGCAGTGTTAAGTGGGGTTCTTCCATTGACGTCAATGCTCGGTAACGGCAATTCCAAAGTTATAAGCAAACTTTAATTACATTTTTGTCAGTAAATAAGCTCATCTTCGTGCACATAGACAATTTATCAATTATGTTCAATAGAGCAGCCAAAAACTAGTTTGTTTATTATCATTACCCTCTATATTGTGAAACACTTTACTGTAAGAATTTTTTTGAAAAAATCCTTTTCTGTTTCTGCAAGGCAAATCATCACTATAATCTTAGCGACCTCATCTCCATCAGCAGTCTGCTATTAAACTGTCAAATGGTTTAAACCAATAAATTGCTGGACTCCATAAATGTTCGATTTCATGTTATGAGTCATTACACTAACACAAGCCAAAAAAAAATATTCTTTACAAACTTTTTTTTAAAATTATATTTGTACTGTACAACATTTTGATTATCCAAGTTAAATTATATAGCATATATAGCACATGAATAATTTGTTTCTGTAAAATATATGAAACTTCATTTAATCCAACCTGTTTAATCATTTTTAGTCCATGCCAACATTTCAACCCAAATTGTCAGTCCATTTATTTAAATCCATTATTGATGGTTGAAACAGAATACAAGTAATCATACTTCATAGAACAATTCTAGCCATATGGCTGCTGGCTCAGGATGAGACCAAGGGATTGTAGGAAGAGGTTTTCTACTGTCCTTTCCCACACATTAGAGATCTCAATGTCAGGTATACTGCCAAATAAGAGCCACGATTTATATCCATTGCGGGTGGAGTGGAGGAGAACAAATATGAGTTAACCCAGGCCACTTGTGGAACCCACACCAAACAGTGTTATCAACTGAATTGCATGAGCAGATCACGTACCTACTGCATTAAACTATACATAAGAAGATATTTTCACTGATGTACAAAATGGTGAATGGAAAGGTTTAACCAGGAATAACTAACATTGGCAGGGATGTAATGAGAACAAAACACTAGGATGACATTGCCTTTTTCAAAGAAGACACCAAATATATTGAAATTGAATAACTTTTATTGCCACATTTCACCAGTAAAAAGTAAATCAAGTCCTAGTTTGCCTCTAACATACGAGGTGATCAAAATAATTAGCTAAAATAATTTTGAAGTAGAGTACAAAGTATTTTTATATCCTGAAATTGTGGGAAAACTGATTTTTTATTATTTGAATATTTATATTAATGCCTTTTTGACCAAAGAATTCTTTCAGAAATGTGAAAATCCAATCTATATGTGGTCAGAACTGAAACTATTCCATTTTTTTGCCACAATTATTATTATGACATTCAGATAGGGTACTAACAAGTTAATGTCTCTAAATGCTGGAAGTAGCAAATGTGTGATTTATTTTCATGGTTTTGTTGTGCAAGCATGAGTTACATGTAGTATAAAATACCTCCATGGCACTATTGAGAAAAAGTCATAAAACGACTTGGAGACAATTAGTATGCCACATACTAATATGTACACATGAAGAATCAACATTACTTTTGATTTTAAAACAGCCTTTAAATAAAATTATCCTTTACATGTTTCATAAAGAAATACTTAATAGAGAACTGTGAAGATCATAGTTTTTTTCCTACTGTCCTATTGTAGACCCTCTGTTCTCTGCATTAAAAATAAAACCTTTTAATTATGATCTTTGCATTTGATATTGCATCGTTTAATTTGCAAGCGCTTAACAAGGTTTACTGTAAAGTGTAGTAGCTATGTATTTTGAATGCAGTCACAGCAGCCAATATGACACAGTAATGTCCCACAAATAGCCATAACGTGATTAAACAATTTTATCTGGAGAATGTTTGCCAGTACACAGTGAGAAACTCTTTAGTTTCTGAGTGCCATGGGATCTTTAACATCCATTTGACAGCTAGACAGAACTACAGTTTAACGTTTCATCCAAAGGACGACACCTCCAAAATGCAGCGATTCCCCAGAACTTTATTGGTGTGTCTGCGTAGGAATAAGAATTCAAAGCACTGACGTGAGCTTGAACTGATAAGCTTCTGATTCAGAGATAGCAATGCTACCAAACTGACACAAGCCTTTTCACACTACACTACCTTTGCATTTGGGAAAACAAATTGGTTATTTGTTCCAAACCTATAGTGAAATACAGTGGACACTCATTACGGAGAAAGTGGTTCACAGTGGAGTTATAATAGAAGAATTGTTGTCTGCCATAAATTCAGTGCCAGTGTTCAATAATAAGAGCAATCTGATAAATCAGATTCTTTCAATGTTCATATTAATAAACATCAACTGTTTGCAAACATTAATATTTGTTAAAATATACACTTCGAAACAATTGACAAAGGGAATTGACAAGACTATAAACATATCAAGAAGTTATGCATCCAATCAACATCTCTAAACAGATTATTTTTGTAATGCAGATTCATTTCTGGAACGAATAGGATTGAGATTGTTGTTAAGGGCTCTGTTAGAATAATCACAAAGAGAAGAATTTAGATTTCCATCCTTCAGTCAGGGCTTAATTACTCCATGTCAGAGTTGAAAGGTTATAAATATCCAAACCTCTTGCACAGTTTAATTGTTAATACACTTAAACCCTGTCTAGGCGGACTAATGGAGGGGGTGGGAGCTGGAATTTCCTGCGAAGTGTAATTAGCAGCATTTTTAAAAAATGCCGGCAAATGTCAGTACCAGTATTGTAATTGTTTGAATCCCGTGAGCAAAAGATAGCGAATAAGCAAATTTTGGACCCATGGAAAAACTTGTTTTAGGCTCGATCCAGTGAGGTTCAAATTTCAGACACCTGGAGTCTGGTAAGATAGAGGTGTATTGTACAACACATTATTTGTAATCTAAAATTCATCACCAACATTTCTGTAGGAGACTTAAAAACACACTTCAGTTCTTAATTTCTGGTGGTTGCTTTTTCTTGCACTACTAGAAACACATGAATAGGCAAGTAAAGGAGCAAGATTCATCTTTCTTCCAAACTCCATTTAAACCATCTTCAACTGGGATGTAAGGGTTTCACTCTGGCTAACCGAGACAGGCCTAATCGAAGGCCTTGGCCTGGACTTTTAACAGAAACAGTGGCTGACAAATTAGTCCTGCTTTCTTTAGTGGCTGAAAAACAAGATTAAAAACATTTATTTTTTAAAATGAACTTTATACATACATTAAATATAAATTATGTTACATATTTTATATAGTCTGCAGAGGTTTTACTTAAATCATTGGCACTGCCAATTTCTTCCCCCTCTAAATGCTGCCCTTTTCCTATTCTCAATAGCATGTGAAACCCAGTGATTTCTAAAACGTTTTCTTAATGACGACAGTTGCAAATGGGGACTTTCCTGTACTGGAAATTTTCCTTACAGGAAGTGCATCATGCCAATTCATCATAACTTCTCTGGATGAAGATTCCCCAAGTATAGCTTGGGAGTATTTAAGGGATGTTGTTTAAACCCATTTTATCTGAAGTTCTAGTTTATATCTGAAGCAAAAAACGGTCTTACCATTTACCGATTTACAGATTAAAGGCCTGAAATTCCACCCAGTTGTAGTCTTTAAAAACATTTGCCAAAATATTTAAGTATGTTTAAATTGAGAAAAACTTCTTAAATTCAGTCTTAATTCAGAGGCTAATTCATTTTAAGAACTGTATAAAATCAGTTTCCTAATTAAAACTGAATACGAGTTTTTCCACAACTCTGAGCAATTGGTTTTGGACAAAAGGTCTTATAGTCAAAGACAAGGGGGATAGTTTGAAAAGAAAAAATATTTTAAATTTCTTTTCTTGGAAAATTTTAACTGGATATAATTAAATACAGTCTCTCAGCTGAAACAAATTGCATTTATATAGCATCAATCATGTCGGGAGGACGTCCATATAAATTAAATTTATTGTTGTTGAAAATCTTTCTCTAATTCCTAAACATAATTTAGAAAGGATTACATTTTATTGAATAATACATTTACCTGGTGGAGTCCACTTCAGTTTTGTCACTCCAATAGATGGGCTCAATGGTTTAGAGGATGGTGGAGAATCTGGTGTTGCCTCTGATAATGATGGAAGAATTTGTATTTTGCTTCTTACTGGGTTAGAAGCTACAGGTGCCACTAAATAAAAGGTTTAAAAGTATTGCATATAATTAGATGAAGCAAATGATGCTGGAAATCTGGAATAAATCCACAAAATGCTAAAAATTCCTTGCTGGTATTTCCTATCTTATTCTTCGAAGGTTGTGAGTTCAAGGCCCACATCGGGACTTGGAATCACTGTCTAAGCTGACACTCCAGTGCAATGCTGGGGTGTGTTGCATTGTCAGAGCTGCCATCATTCAGATGAGATGATAAACCAAGGTCGTGTCTGCCTGTTAGGGTGGACATTAAAGATCCCATGGCACTATTCAAAAAGAGAAGGGAGTATCTCTTAGTATCCTGGCCAAAAATCCCTCAAATAAAATTGGTCAGACACTCTATGGCTGTTTGTGGGACTCTGCTGTGCACAATTGTCCGATGCAATTCGCCCGCAAAATACAGTCAATTAACTTGACAGTATATCCTGTAAAGTACTTTTGAGACACCTCGGCAAGATAAGGTGCTATATCAAATGCAGGGATTATTATTATTTATGAAATCCCTTATACAAAATATCTATATATGTTTTTAATTATTGTTGACCTGCACATACTTCACCAACTTTCTAAAATTAATATTAAATAATAGTATCTGCTAAACCATTTAGATTTATTGTACAGGATACATTTACCTAGGCATTTCATTTCACTGCTGGCAATCACGCAGAAATGGTAGAATAAATGTACTTACCCGTAGCACTATTCTTGGGTATGGAAGTCTTCCCTTTTTTCTCAGTTTGTAATTTTGTTTCATTTCTTATCTTTTTGTTTGTATTTGATTGATTTTTAAATATGAATTGATCATCTTCATCTCCACTAGTTACATTTTCATTGTTTTCTGAGCCTTCAAATGCAACAAAGCAAATTGTTTATAGTCTGGACGTAAGTAGCCTTTAAAGCCTTGCTTAAACTATACAAAGAAAGGTCAATTATTGGGAGTAAAATGAAAAATAAGCCTTGGATTTGATACAGTGTCTATAATGTTGAGAACGTCGCAAAGTACTTCATCAAGTTTCTGTGAATTATAGTGACTGTATTTGTAGATGAATGCCACAGCAAATATCCTACAAACAGCCATTGATCTGGGGAGTTTTTAGCCATGACACTTGAAAAGCATTCTACTTTTCAAATAGTGGCATGGGATCTTCAACGCCACTTGAATAGAAAAATTGGACGTCTCATTCGAAGGTCTAAACTTCTGAGGTTTATCCCCCAGCACTGCACTGAAGTGTCAGACTAGACTAGTTCAAATTCTCAAAGTGGGGCTTGAATCCATAACCTTCCCCCCAGAGGCAAGTGTGCTTGCAATTAAGACACGTTGACACTTGAGTACATTAAACTGTCCCAGATTAGTATATTGTCAAGAAAAATGAATTCAACTCGAAATGTATACATCACGACCGTTAGTCTGAACAACATTCATATCACTTTGGTAGAAGCCATGACCATAAACTATTTAAATGGATATGCCACTTAATTGAACTTATTTAATTTTGACCCTTTGTTCCAAGGTCTACATTCAATGTGTATATAATTCCTAACTGAAAATAAGTCTTTAGCAGCTAGGAATAAATCCTAAGGATCAAATCATATATTCCTAAACTGATGGCTGTGTTAAGATGGTACCAACAGCTATATAAATAAAAATTCAGCTAGGCACACCTCAACAAATTAAGTTACGGAGTCTGACATTATCTGTAGTGTCACAAAATAAATTATCGTTAAAATTAAATGAATTTAAAATCAGAAGCGCAATTCATGCCAATTAGATACAACCAGTATAACTACCTCAACTTTCAAATAACAAACAGCAGTAAAATAAACCACATCAAACCGGCTTGAGTACATTTACGTGCTCTTGAAATCTCAACCATCAATTTATTGTGGTTTACCAATTTCCTTTTCCCAGATTATTTTAAGACCATTAGACTGCTAATGGTACAGGACTGCCATAAAATGTGTCCATAAAATTACACCTAGTTATATATCGTTCCTAGTTTTAAGTTTAGGTTGTGTTTTAAACAAAATGTTTTGTTTTCAAAATCCTTTCCCTATACTATGGAGTTCTTTTCAATGCAATTCTAACTTACAATGGAAGGAGATCATTTAGTACATGACAAACATCTGGAATATATAGCACAGGTTGCTAGAAAGGTGCTACAAGTTAAGAGATAAGATATTTACAATCTTGCACTATATATAATAGCCAGATGCTGTATTAAGTTACAGCCAGTACAGTAGAGACAATTATCCACACTAATTCAGACAGGTTCCACTCATATAAGCAGCAGTGCATATAATTGGATATCAACTAAAAAAAACTGTTGTATCAAGAGTTAGACCTGTACTACCCTGACTGTCCAGCACCTTGCGACAGACATCCTCCAGATGTGAAAGGCGCTATACAAATGTAATTTGTTGTTGTTGTATCAAACTGTGCCAACCCCATTATCTCTCTGCCTATCTGTCCAAAAAAAAGCATTGTATACAGACACGTAATTATAATAGACACGTTTTTCCTGTAGGCATCTAATATCAATTTCAGATATATCCCATGCCCCCAATGCAACTCAACATGATGCAAAATCAATCACTCTCTACACTGTGCCTTTAACAGAAGCTTGAGGTGAGCAATTCCTACAGCAAAAGTATGAATTTTTCCCACTTGCTGTGAATAGTTTATTCAGCATTGTGGGTCACTCCAATTCGAGAAAGTGACCCACGTTTCATGTAGGATCTTTCCTACCAGCAGGGAGGGGATATTTTTATCCCATTATGTTAGCAAAATATGAACTCAAATCGTAGAGGTGAAAAGATAGAGTGAGAGCTTGCTGGTTCTCTACTTCAAAAGACTTCATAGCACTTGTTGATTCACAAGGTTCCAAGGACACTGATTATTTTCTAGGAAACCTGCATTTGATGATCATGTTTTTTTTAAAAAGTAATAATGTTTTAACCTTGACCAGCCCAGGAAATTTCCCAAACTGAAGCTTTTGCAGCCTAGACAGGAAGTCAATTATAGTATCCATCATCTACTCTATTGACCTTTAATTGCCTCTTAAGTTCAGTAGTCCATGAAAACCTGTTTGATATCACATTCTCACAGCATTATGTTTAGCAGTTCTGTTCTTATGACTAAAAGTGTTTTAAATAAAAAAAGGAAACATTGGCTGTAATGGTGTAGGAACATTTGAAATTTCCAAAACATTTTGAGTAGGGAAGCCGAAAGCAATGTATGTATAGTTTGAAGTTATTTCAAAACAGTTTATTATTTTTTAGGTTTGATATCTAATGCAAAGATTTCATTGATCTGTGTGGTGCATATACATTTTGGCAGGCAATTTGGTATCACAAATCACCAGTGATCTTCTCACTGGAGGCACACTTTCCATCAGGGATCATTGAACAGAAATTGGAGCAGAGCAGCGGAGGGGTTTTTCGCTTAAGTGTGGGGGAAAGGAAGGGAGCGATTTTCTACCTCGATACACCTTTCATCTATACTTGGAGAACTTTGCCTCCATAATTCCAGAGAACAAAATAGTGGTGGAGGCGCGGGGGGGGATTATATTGGTCTTAATAGAGTTTGTTAAAAACAAGACTACGTGCATGAGTTCAAGCAAAATTATTGTATTACATTCTGGAACAGTATCTAATTCAATGTTCAATGAGATTTAATATTCTGTTTGGTCAGGTCAGACCAGTTTATATCAACTTTGTATGTTCCACTCTTACACAGCTTTGAGGAACCTTTTGAACAGATAGCACAGGAATCTGGATAAGCTATTCGAGGAAATGCCAATTAAAAACCCAATGAAAAATGACGCCTTTGTTTTAGACTTTAAAACTTTCTTCCTTGAAATGTTTATTGAGGCAATAGCTGAAAGATAACATTTATTATCTAAATTACAAACATCTTTGCACCATTATTGAGTCTTTGGCAATGTTTGTGGACATATGTGAAATTACATACCATATCTAAATGATCAGGAAATGATTTACCACTAATGTTACAAGTGGTTATGAATGCTGTAGAATGTTTGACAATGGTGCAAATCTATTATAATACTTCTATTTATGGAAGGGAGTGATGTGCAACACCACGTAGACCAAAGGAATGCAGTGCCGATTGACCACTTACTTCTTATTAAATCATTTACTGATTTGCCCTGAGCATTTCAAGTGAAACGACCAAATTGTCATCACTGGATTACTCACCGGTAGTTTAAAATTATTTGCCAATGGGAACTTGGAAATAATTAAAATATAATACTGCAACAGCTAACAGTTCTATTTTATACAAGTGTGACGATGGAAAGATGGGCTATATTTGTGTTCCTGCATTTACCAAACAGTATTCAAATATGAAGTCAAAAAGAATACAAACCTTAAATTGACAGCCCCATTATACTGCATTTGTTTGGCCTGCAGATGCCAGATTTTACGGTAAATTTTATTAAATCAGAAAATATGGTATTGACTGCCATTAATCTATCAGAAAGGCCTCACTCAGTTCAGACTTTAGGTTCAGACCCAGATCCACATGCCCTTCCCCATTGAGTAGTCTTCTTCCCCCTTTACCTTCACAAGGAGGAATATCTGTATGTGACTGCTATCACACGTATACAAGTACTGAGAAATGATTTCCAGTACATTGTTACATTCTTGATCTCTTCAGTCTGTCTACATTTTTTTCTCCCCTTATCTGTTGGTTCCAATAACTACAGTGATTGACCGGGTCACATCTCTGATGCAATTACAGTAATCATTAGAATCTAGACCTCTAATCAGCCAATAAAAAGGCTTTTAAAACAACTTGCTCTTATCTCTACAGTTCACAGTGGGAGCTGGAAGAAAAATAAGAAACTTATAAACTCCCTTTTGTAAGAAGAAAATGTTTAGAAAAGATAGATTAAGTGGACAAAAGGTAATATTAATCTTAAAAGTAAAAACAGAGAATAGGAAGGAAAAACCGAAGTAGGGAGGTTAGTGGTGTCTCATTGGAGCTGAGCCATAGCACAATATTAGTATTGTGGAATATTAGATGGAATATTAGAATTGAATCTATGATTTGTAATAATCACTGGTTCCTGAGCCAGACTGGTCCACAGTACTCAAAGGCACGACTTAGACTCTTGCCACCTGCGCCTTAAACACTCGAGAATTAGGTTAGCAGGGTGTGTCCCTTCAAGGAGAAAATGTACATCCCATTCCAGATACAGGGAAATCTCTACAGCACACATAATAATAATAATAATCCTTGCATTTGATATAGCGCTTTTTCATTTCTTCTAGATGTCTCAAAGCGCTTCAGAGTACACTGTAAAGTGAGTTGACTGTATATTTGTGGGCAAAACGCGGCAGCCGATTGCACACAGCAGTGTCCCACAAACAGTCATGGATTGAAGTGATCAATTCTATTGCTTTTTTTTCTTGAGGGATTATTAGGCGTGTGGAGTAAGGAAACTTGCCCAAGGTTTCGCCCTGCCGGGAATTGAACCCAAGTGCTCTGGCCACTGAGCTACAGGACTCCACTATGTAGAACTCTCAGCCTTTGGTTTGGATACTATAACAATGGGTTTCGAAATGTATCACACATCAGCGTCCAAAATATACATTTGACTGTAAGCTTATCGAACCACTTGACCCAGGGAGACTGGAGTTTCCCTACATCTGGAAGCAATCTAAAGACTAATGCACAGAAAATATTCCTTTTCATCAATTTTTTTGAACCACATAAACTAAATGTAAATAATTAATCTATACAGCAACTGCTATTCCTACGATAACTTGAATTCACATATTATAGCCCAAAGTAGTCAAATTTGCAGCTGACAATAAGCGAGG